GGATCCACACACCATCAGATGTGTAAACCAGTTGGAGATGGTCCAGAGACGAGCAGCGAGATATGTTCTCAACCGCTATCATCATACATCTAGCGTCTCTGATATGCTGAGTCAACTTGGATGGACCTCCCTCCAGAAGAGAAGAGAGCATCAACGTCTCACTTTACTGTACAAGATGCACTACTCTTTGGTTGACTTTGACATCCACCACTACATCCAACCGGCAACAGTCGTAAGAACTACAAGATCGTCTCGTCCTTACTGTTATCGTGTCATGCAGTCACGAACAGAGCAACATATTCACTCCTTCTTTCCTCGCACTGTTCGACAGTGGAACGCTCTCCCTCTTGAGGTTGTCCTGGCTCCATCAGTGGAAGCCTTCCAGCGACAACTAAAGACCGGGGGGAAGTAAATTCCGGCAATGTTTTTTTACTGGCACTATGTATATATACACCTCTCACCTGCACACCTGGACATCCCCATGTCGCAACACACATGCACTCGCACACATCTGCAAGAATCTTCAGCAGTGAAGGAGGCAGATTATTTTGAAGAAGAAGAAGAAGGAGAAATATACGTTAAAAATTACATTTTCAGAGATCCTTTTAATTTGCAAACAAGTTAAGTTTGTATCCTTATGATCTTGTCGATCACATGGACTTGTTATTAAATGTGAAATATAATTTCATTTGATATCAGTGTTCCATTGAAGTTCACTGATATATCGAGAGTACGGTATTAAGTTTAGGCTTTTTAGCTTTTTAATATTTTAATAGTTCCATCGCTTTGAGGATCCTCGGTAAATCCCGCAGATTCACCGCTTCAAAATTAGTGGACTACATTCCTCGAGTTTTTGTTTGTATGTCACCTACTTTTCAAGATATTTCATCAAAAAACATTGTTGTATTACGGAGATATAGCGTTAGGTGTCCAGAAATAGTACATGTTATGTCCTTTTGTGATTTTGATGTGCTTGTTTTCTTAATGCTCTTGTCATGACTGTTTCCATGTTCTCCAATTTCCGTCTTTAATACTCTGATCGCATATTTTGTAAATTGATGTATATGATACGAGTTAACAGAGAAATTGAGCACTGTCTGTCAAACTGTTATTATGTTTGCCAAAACAATTGAGTACATACGCATTGATACAGAGTAACTTCACTTTCCTGCCACGAAAATAAGATCCGCGCAGCCAACAAGAAGATGTTCGTTGGGTGCTGATACAATGAAAGAGAATTTCTCCTGATATGGATTTTTAAAAAAATCCGCTTGATGCTTTTGAGTGACGCTAATGTACTTACTTTAATGAATAACAGTCTTCACAAATTTTCATAAAGGTATCGGTCTTCATTGAAGAGACAAACCCAGGATCTTGGTGTATCACATTCGCTGTATAAATGAATGTTATAGTTGCTGCAAAAAGCTGCGAAATGGCTCTAGCACAAGCCCAGAACGACACATTGGTAACTGCCAGAGAAGTAGAGTCCGGAATAGAGTCCGGGGCAGCTGCCATTTACATTGGCGTAATTGTAATGGATGTTACATTTAATACTGTCGTTCTAGCTATACTTCATCAACAGAGGGAACTCAACGAATACATGCGAATTTTGTACCAAGCATTGGCAGCACTGGATATCATTCTTGGGATTGTATGGTGTTCCTGGTCTGTCATTTGGTACTGTTTCAAGAGCCTGGAGAATTGCATTACCACAATCAAGATGTTAGCTTTCCTCCATCGCACCCTCGTCATGTCAGTCGTGTTTTGTCTCTGTGGCATCACCTTTAATCTGTATCTCCTGATCACAAGACCATTGCGATACTATACCATAGTAACAAGGGCGAGATTCTTTTCCATCCTGGTGTCGACGTTGATAGTTATTGTATTGCTATGCGGTATATATTTGGCAATACCACTTTCCCCCTTTTCATTGATGACAGGTGTACTGATAGTTCATTGCCTGAATGATGATCTAAGTATAAACACAAGCCAGGCATCGTATGTTGACGGCTTAATACTTATTATTACCATCTGCCTGGTTCTTTCGTTTACGTTGGTGATCTACATAAGGCTCCTAGCGATTGCCTATAAGAAAAACGTCATTCGATTTGTAAAGCGGCCAAAGACCGTAGCGGTTGAGCCGCGGGAAAACCTTCAGGACCACTGTAATCAGCCACCAACGCGTCATCCAAATCGTAATGATCCAAGGAGAGAAATGGTGCGACAAAACAACGCAGGATTCTATAAACGATTCAAATGAATCATCACCGTTCTCCTCCTGTGGGGATCTTTCTGTGTCGTTTGGATAGTGTATATCCTTCAGTTTTATCTGGACAAGACACCCAGCTGGGTGAAGATGTTAGCAGTGAGTAACACATGGATTCAACCCATGCTGTATTTACTGACTAATGAAGAAGCGAGTACTTTGTCTTGGAAACTTTTACAGCGCCTTATGAAAAGGCGTTCATGAGTACAGAAATCTTACATTGATGACATAATATTTACACTTTATGAAGCAAGGCTGAAAAATTTAAGTTTAGCCCATTGTTCATGAAAGTGCAAGAAGTACTAGACCGAGAAATTTAGTTGTATTGAACCTCTGAAAACTAAAGTGTGTGGGCTACGAACCCCAAAACATCGGTTCCATGAAGTTTCGGTCCCGCGGACATACTTTGACAACTAGTCGGAAGATTAACGATACAGATCTAGAAGGACCACGATGTCCCGTCACCAGTTAACGAAAAGGTTACGTTAATTGTTTGTGAATACAAAATCATATTGCATACAACGCGGTAAATTTGAAAGAGAAAGGAAGGAGAGTCAATAATAAACTGTTTCATATAAATGCGTTAAGACATACAAGGAGCCAAAAAACAACAACCTGTAATTAAAAATGTAAGCTCAACATTAAATATGAATACAATATTAATCAAACATGTGGATAATGATCTGTGTAGATGGTTGAATGATATGCAATGTATGGCCCAATTAAACGGCCGACTGCAACATTTTGTCTGAAGCTTGTGGACATGTATATTATATTCATCATCATCATAATCATGTTTTAGAAATAAATTTATGTCATCATTTTTATTATCATTACATTATGTGATTCAGTAATAAAAAGAACGTAATTATTTTGGCAATCTCATGTAAATACTGCATGGATCCATATTATCTTCGTCGTCTTATGTGAATTTTGAATACCTATTCTGTCACCTTTCTGAAAATGTTCATGATAAACCGATCAAAAGAGGATTTTATATTTTAAAACTGGTTAACGTTGCATATTAAATCTATGAACATACACTTTTTCTAGTAGAAAGTTGCCTTCATGCTTGCCTAGTCGCATGTTGCAAAGGTGAGATAAACAAACATATCAATAATCTTCTACATCATTTGGGGTCATATTGCCTGAATCATAATGTTACTGTTACAATAGGTTATACTGCCACTAATTGTACTTGACATAACTTGGACTTTACGTATAATATTTCTATAAATGGAACTGTATCCTGTATATACCTATGTCATAACTGTAATAGCAGGGCAATATTTGAATATTTTTCATCCGTCAATAATGGATCGTGATTCTTGCATGCATTGCGTGTTAGCATAATTTAAAAGAATAAATAGTAAACGTTGAATGCTTAAAACTATTGTGATGTCCAGTTCTTCTGGTATGAAAACATGAGAGACTCGGTGAGATGAGAATGAATGCTGAACGGAAAACGAAGCTGAGCCACTGGAAGAGAGCACACCTTAAGATAGGATGACTAATCCTGCTCTTCAGAATGTCTTTTTTTAACAAAGGATGTAATGTTCAAATGAGTTGGTTGAAATAAAGAGATGGAGGGAGTATTAAGTATATGAGAGAGAGAGAGAAAGAGAGAAAAAAATAAGGGTATGGGTTGTATGCGTGTGGGTGTGTTGGTGGGTGTTGGTGTGGGTGTATGTGTGTGTGTGCAAGAAGAAGATACAGTGAGAGAAACAGAGAGAGTGAAAGAGAGAGAAATAGAAGACCGACATAGGTGGGATAGAAGCTTTTGAATTGATGTTAGCCTGATGTTACAAAAGAGAAAGAAATACTGTTCACTCTGATTGACACCGATTAAAGAGCGAACACTGGCGTAGGGTAAGCCCAGACATTTGCTAAAGTAAAAAAGGAAAAAAAATACAGTGAACGTAATTACCGATGTCGGATCGGAATGCGCTGCGTGCAGTTCACGCCAAAATTCATTGAAAGAGAACTTAATATCCGTGCACGGGAGTATACAGGGAATTTTACCCCCCCCCCCCCCCCCCCAAAAAAAAAAAATGATAATAAAAAAACCCGATCAATAAAATATGTACGATACAGGCAAAATATCAATCAATTGGTACCAATTTTAACATACAATTCTGAAGATGTCCATATGCGGACAGCACACCCTTTTGGGTAAGTTCATATTCGGAACGGAAGCAAAAGACTGCCAAATTTGCCGATCATTAGTTTTGACATCAGATTTTCGAAATCTTCCCGATTTTTTTAGATTTAGGTCACGCGCGAACTATGGTCACCGTCCACCAAACAGGTATTTAAATACTAAATCCTCAAATTTTTCGACGCTTTTGAATATGACTAAATACAGAATTGTATTGATTTACTTATAGTTAACAAAACGATTTATATGAGTGATAAAAAAAAGGAAAGAAAGAAAGTGTTAAATTAAAAAAGAAAATGGAAAAGAAACTAAATGTGAAAAGGACAGTAATGCATTATGAATATTAATGATAAGTAAACCCAGGAAGTAAATATGAATTCCCTTTGCACGTTGCTGAAAAGCAGGTAAACCCTCGACTGGAACCGGATATTCGATTACGAAAGAAAAAAACGAACTGACACAGAAATCAAAAGATTTGATATAAGGGATCCAATCGTGAAAGTTTGTGGCGCAGAAAATCTTAGTCTAGCTCTAGCTAGCTAGCTTATACAAAGAGATTCGATCATACACAGTATGTCCTCCGAGCTTATAATTGAAGAGCGCCATCTAAATCTCACCAACAGGATCATCAACCTCAAGTCAAGGCTCAATTCATAATTTTTGGAAGATATGGCCACATGTTCCTTCATTTCATGTGATCAAGAGAGGCTCACCTTAGGTATGTTACCTTCCATTGTTTTCTCCTGAAACGGTTCTTAGTTTTAAAAAAATGAGTGGACTTAACTTTAGAATAACCCACGAAAGCTGTCCGTTGCCGAACCATTGCCATTGGTTTATTGTAGTCCCGTTCGTTAGTATTCGTGACCAGTTTTCGCAATAGCCAATCCATTGACAGACGCATGACGCGACGTGACCACATGATGACAATCCACAGAACGTTGCATTGATTGTCGTTGACGTTGTGATTTAGCCGCTAATGTAGTTTCGTATCTATTTGTGACCTGTAACTCCGGCGGCGAGAGATACCCTACTAAAACATACAAAAAATGGCGCTAGTGTACTGTGTAGACCTAGTCCTAGATCTAGATCTAGTTCCGTATCCATTTTTTTAGCAGTTTAATCTAGACCTAGTCTAACTGTTAGATCTAGACCTATCCATGAGTTTTAGCACAATTTTTTACTAATTTTAATCATAATCATATAGATTGTCTATTGCATTTTCAACCTGCATTTGGATCACATTCGACATCGGGAAACCTTCGTTTAGGGCTTCGATGTCTACATGTATGTCGTCGCTCAGTACCGTCTCTACGCTGTAGTTCTGCACCTTGGTCCAAAATTATGCAGACTTCTCGTATGCGCGATACCATAAACCATACGAGAAGTGTGCATTTTGTACTGATAGCTTCAGTTTGAGGTGCAGGACTACAGCGTAGAGATGGTACTGAGCGACAACATAGACATCGAAGCCCTAAACGAAGGTTTCCCGATGTCGAATGTGATCCAAATTCATGGTGGAAAATGCAATAGGGTAGCGCGCCCAGTATTCAGTCCATTCCCAGTATTCGGTCATACAGCCGTTTCAACAGCTGTAACAAGTTAAAAAATAATTTATGAGCCACGAAACTTGCACAAATCAGGCAGCTGAACAACTTTTCTTTCTTAATACTCAAAATGAAATCAGATTTAGGGCCCCGGAAAGATCTCCAACTTAGCTCGAAATTGGTCAATGTTGCACAACTTTCTGCACTTCCGTGTTCTCTTAGTCTTAGCACATGCGCCAACATGCATAGCCATATGCAGAAGTCTATTGCGAAACAACTACGTGTGCTGTCGCAATGAACTTAGTATGTGTGTGAAGAGAATCACTTCCGTGTTCACTCCATCGCAGCGAATTTGCAAATGACGCACTTACCGATGTGCAAGAGGTATTTATACAATACCCTTGCCATGCGGTATCGTTCGGCCAGTATTCGGTCAACGCATTGACATTCAGTGCTTTATCGCCCAATTGTGTGAAAATAGTGCGCAAATGCGTTTCGCTCCTTGGCAACAGAGATACCATGCACAAATCTCGTGACCGAATTCTATTCGGCGCGACCAAATTCTGGGCAGAAAAATGCTCCATCTTCTTTCGGAAGTATTTTGCTTACAGTATCATTATTCTATATTTTAAGTGACTATAAATCCTGTTAGAGGAATAAATTTCTTTTCTTTGATGGGTAGATTGCCAAATAAAAGAGGTAAGAATTCTAAATATTTGCGATTTCCCCTTAAGTGACCGAATACTGGACACTCTACCCTATATGATTATGATTAAAATTGGTAAAAAATTGGGCTAAAATTCCGTTGCTAAGAATGGATATAAAACTGCTAAAAAAAATGGATACCGAACTACACTAGCGCCCAAAAAATCAACTAAATCTTCATCTAGGGGCCGTTTCTCGAAACCGTCATAACTACAAGATCAACGACATCTCGCCACTGTCACGCAACTTGTCAGCTAAGTGTTTCACGAAGCCGTCTTTGCCAAGATGAGCGACAACTTCCGCGACAAGCGAGTTGTCACTGCTCCGAACCTGTCATATCTTTTTAATTGCTGTAAAGCGCCATCACAAGTCAGTTTGTTGCCATTCCATGGGCCGCGAAATGGACGATTAGTTTCACTATCATTTTGAGAAAAATATAGACGAGTTCGGTACGTAATTCTCTGGGATGCGAAATGCAAATGTACAAAAATGAGAATACAAATTATACAGAAACTTTAAAAAGCTGAATATAAACATTACATCACAAATCATTAAGCTATATCATATAAATAAGAGAGGTAAGAATGTTACACACCGTTTTCCATAGTCGATCCATAGTCTTTTCTTAGGATACCGTCATACCTTTGGGGCCTATGTGCATTATTATTCCCTCTCTAATTACTTCTTCCAAATTATATTTTCAATATCAAATCAATTATATAAACGAGTATTTATGAGACTCTGGATTAAAAACTGGCTGAGAAAAGACATTTTGCCTAAAATTCCTCTTCACAATAAACAAAAAAGTATGTATTGATAAACTATCACATTACGGTATCCTTCAACTAACTTTTGATTCGACTGTCGAAAAAAAAACACTCACCGGTTTTTCTTCAATTTAAGAATCTTTACAGAAATATGCAAATCGTTTGATGATGTAAATATGATAATGACACTATTTATTATTTATTTTAGGAGAATTTATATGTATATATGTCTTTTTGAACAATTTTAGCCCCAAAACTTGTTTTGGGTTATTCTTGATAAATCAAATGGATCGTGACAAAGACTATGTTCTTGAGCTGCTAGTATCGCGATATATCGATATCATGTCTGTCATGGCTTTGTGAAACGGTTTATCCGCTTCATGACATCTCTCCGTAGGTCGCCGACAAAGATATGACTGTCATGGAGTTGGTTTCGAGAAACGGCCCCCTAGAGTCTAGATCTAGAGTCTATTGTTCAAATAATGGTTAGAAAGTTATGTTTCTTAATTAAACCTTTACTGTTCCGTGTCAATGTTCTTAAAAATCTTATCTCTTTTGGAGTATTTTTCCTTAAAAAGAGTATACACTTTCTGACAGGTTCTACGGCAAAAACGCTGCACAATTAATTACGATACAATTGCATGTAGTTACAGTACCGACTACCCGACGAAGGGGTGCGGGCGGGCGGCCGGGCGCGCTTGTGCGTAAAGTTAGATCATTATTAATAATACTAGTAGAAGGGTGACCAAAGTTCGCTGACATTTTTTAACATATTAGAAAATGTGATATTCGATCTATGAATTCTCACATTTTACACAAATTTATGTAGTTCAATTGTTACCAAATGGATGGCAAAGTTTTTTAACTACAAATTGGTTCAACTAGAAATTTATCGTCAAAACATTTCGGAAATATCGCGATCTAAAATTCAATATCCGATCAAAACCTAACTTCACGCACAGGGGTTAACAGTTGATTTATTAAAAAATGAGGGCCATCAAAAATAAGGTAATTTCATAATTTGCAAGGCAAAATATCATACAATCAGTCGGTACCACTTTATTACTTACAATTTTGAGGAGATCTGCTCTCAAAATGAATATTTCCAGACCCTTATCGGTAAGTGAGTATGTTTTTCGGAACGGACACAAATGACCGCAAAATTTGCCACATTTTTGTCAATATTTTCAAAGTTTCACACCCAATTCTAGAGAAAATTTTGTCTATAGGTCATTTGATGTTCCTCTTTCCATTGGTGATTTGTATCTTCACAGCCAAGTTCTCTCATGGAAGGCTTCAGAGAAATTCAGATGGTACATGGAGACAGAGTCCTTCATTCACCCTCCTAAGAAGCTCTGACACAGATGACAAGCGGAAGAATCTACGAAGAACATTGGTCAGTCATGAATGCGATCTATTATTTAAAGACAAACTTTAGAAATATACAATGGAGTAAATGTTGTGATGAACTGATCACATATTTGATTTCCAAGAAGCCACAAATTGTGTCAGCTTGTATTTCAGTTCAGATTCTGTTCTTGAATTTTATTCATATTTTTATGTTGAATCCTTTATATCATACTGTTTCAATCTTGAACTTTGGTTTTAGATAAAGTGATGTCCACTTTATTTAGTACATGTATATAGTTTTGTTTGTATGAATGTCATTTAATGATGCTTCAGGGTCAAATGACATTAAGATAAATACCTCAACAAGATCACACAAACAAAATACTATTTTTTTTCTTTAAATGAGTTTTATTTATTGATAGATGACCTCAATAACATATGGTGGAAGAGAATTTCATGATATTTGTTCTGAAAGTTAGATAAGGAATTGCAATTCATCATTGTGATATATTTGTTTCCTTTTTTCCCCCTGTTACATGTAGGTTGCAGAAGCTGACTCCATGCAGTATGTAGGTCAAAATTATGGTGACCAAGCTTCCAAAGCTAACTCGATGTGCAAGTAGGTATACACTCCATCTAGATTATGAGTGTCATGCGATAACTCAAATAGTGTTGTTATTGATGAGCGTAATGTCTTTCATGTATCTGTCCTGACTAAAGCATCGGACAGCCTGTCCTGTAGTACCAAAGTTTTGGCCTAATATGTATCTTTTTTCTGTTTATCCTGAAAGAACGTAACGAGATGGTAAGGTGGCAGTTCATTGCCAAAATGCAAATGGGCGGTTCATTCTTATTCGGTCTCATAGTGGTGCAGGAATGGTAACAACACACAATAACATAAGAGATGATAGAAGAAAAAACAAAGAACTTGATAAGGAGAGACAGAAAAAGAAAATTATAAAGAACACATAGTTGAAAGATAGAAGAGAAGGTGAATGATGGATTAACAAATAATAACATAAGAAATATAGAAACAGAAAATTATAGAAGGAAATCATAGAATAACATGATGAAAGGTTATAGACGGAAGAAACAAAGGATAACATAATGAAAGGTTATAGAAGTAAGAAACAAAGGATAACCTAATGAAAGGTTATAGAAGAAAGAAACAAATGATAACATAAGAAAAGGTTAGAGAAAGAAGTACCAAAGAATAACATAAGATAAGGTTGTAGAAGAAAGAAACAAAATTATCTTTCACATACTTAACCCTGGTCAAAATGGGCTCTGGAAAAATATATTTTAGTGCTCACCATCACCCCTGCATATAGAGTTCATGTTTATAATGTCACTGTTTATTTTCAGGTACATGGTGGGGGTGTTTGACAAGAAGACAGGAAAGATGAAAGTCTACAATGCTCAACTATTAGAGCTGCATCCATGGCTTGGAAAGAAAGTGGAGAAAGAAGATCAAATTGATGAAGCCAAGGATTTATCATTAGCTGAAAAGGTAAAAACATTTACACGTAGATCATTATTTAGAGTAAGTAAAATCTAAGGACGACAGCAAGGTGAACAGGAAAGAGAAACTTAGGGGAAAAGAAAACTAAAAGAAAAAATAATAGAAAAAGAATGGATACAAGAAAGAGAAGGTAGAAGTGAAAAATGATGGAAGCAAGCAGACAAATCTAGTTTGCTGTAGTTCATGCTTTATTTTGGTCTTGATCTATTTACAACTATCACATGTAGCTGTGTTACAGGATGCAAATCTATTGCTCTTAAGATTTATTCACATATGACATTCTACAGTGAATTATTCTATGTTTGAAATATGCAATGAGTCTTCAAATTGTACACATGACCAATTTAGCCATTGGGCTGCGACACATGTTTTTAATAAACCTCAAATTGAAATTGAAAAGAGGACGCAAGTGTAGCGTGTTTTATATCTTATAACATCTGTGCATTAGAAAACAAGGAGCCTTTATACTGCACAGCTGCCTTTTTATCATCTTCAGCTAACATTCATTGACTTGTTCAAATGTTTTAAATTTTACATGGTATTTTCATTATTTACGTTTTACTAATAATTTCCTTAAAGACATTTTAGTGTCATTTCTGAAAAGGCCTGTTAAGTGCTTTATGCCATTTCAACCACCGTCATTTAGATATTTTAAGAAAGGCTTTTTGACTGAAAAAAAAATGAATGGATCGTTCTCATGAGCAATTATTCTTATTGCTTTTTTAATGTGTAAATACAAATTGAAACAAGAAATACTTGTTTTTAGAAGAGAAAAAGAAATAAGAAAAATAGTCTCAGTTTGTGCCATAACTCATCTTCTGCCCCCCCCCCCCCATTCTTGTTTATTACAGAAAGACAGACTGACCGAAGCCTTTGGGAGTTCCAGGAAACAGAGGGCTATGGAATCTCGTCTAAAGAACAAGGTTGGAACAGAAGCCTTGGAAACATCGGCTGCAAAGGCTCTTACCCATGCTGCTAATACACCATCACTTCCTCTAGGTAAGAGTCAGCACCCTCCTCACTCCTTTCCAGTTCACTAACTGACTTGATATGATCATGTGGTGTCGGCAGACATCTATGACTAATGCCAATGATTGGTGACTTTTTATTCTTGTCATTAAAATCCTTTTTTTGTTGTTGTCATACCTGGCACATTTATTGTAACGATTTCCATAACATGTGTCTAATAAGTATAATAATTTATTGTCCTTTTCAGGAAATTTGGTTTCCACTGGTTACAGAGTATTACAATACAAATATATAAATTAAATATTACAGGACAGTGATAAACATACACATATGATAAACATACATAATAAATGAGGTAATATATATGTAAGCCACGGTATATATGGTGGTTCAATAGAGGTAATATCAGATTCCATTTTACAAAATATGAAGCTAAATTATTTAATATCATTGATTATTCCATAGTAAATCTTAAAATGATGATAAATAAATAAATTATTATTATTATTATTTTTATTATTATTATTATTATCGATTACCATTTTCAGTAGTATAATTATTATCGACATCATTATTATTGTTAACTTTATTGATGACACATAGATTGTAGTTACTGGCTCAATCGGTAATTGTGCAATACTGTGCATGTCTCAATGCATACAATTCTCTGAATACAGATTACACAAAGAATTCTTTGAAGGCAAGTTTATACAGGACCAACTCTTCAAATGCAAGTTACACAAACTATTCTTGTATGCAAATATAACATGATGTTTTGGATAATCTTTGTTATGTCTTGGGTCATCTTCTCATTTTCTTCTAGACTTTGAGATGGATACCAGTTTGCTGCCACCGTGTGACAGATCAGCAAAGAGACCTCAAGGTGTCTACAAGCTAGAAGATAGTATCCTTTCAAAACATGGACACTACCATGTCTGCCAATTATATTCATACAGGGGACTGTTTCACAAAGACTAAGATCAACTTTAAGTTGGACTTAACTATGGCAGGCCATTCATGCCACTGTTTGCTCTCATCATAATGATCTTTAGAGAATATTTTTTCCTTCAATAATACTTTATCAAAAAATGTAAATTATGTAGATTTATGACCATAATTTGTACGTCCCTTGAGAGACCAATGCCAGTAAATGGTGAGAGCAAACAGTGGCATGAACGGCCTGCCATAGTTAAGTCCAACTTAAAGTCAAGCTTAGACTTTGTGAAACAGCCCCCAGGTCTGCAAAATAGTTATTTGTCTTGTCCGTCAAACCAAAGATCAAGGGGTTTGAATGCATTCCAGGTGGATAACCGAAGCCTGCATACTACTGTCCCTCTCCTATTTCATAGATGCAAGCTACATGTCATCAGAAAACACTTCATTTTTCACATATGACGTTTGATAGAGGAGAGTAACCACCTTTTCACATTAACCCGATGGTTATAGTGATTCAGTTTGAAGCACGGGTGATTTCAAATGCTCTACAATCAGTATTATATACCTCACTTAAGTAATCCAGCCATCTGATTGGTCGAAATTGCATTCATAAACTTCAACTGTTCCTGTGAAATTCTCGGTAACCATGCATAAAACATTTCAATATTTTTAATAACCATGGTTATTAAAAAAATAGTTCAGTCTCCATGGTTACCCCATAGGTTTACATGTTAAAAAATGGTTTGAGCGATGGAGGATACCATATGTGTGCGAAGAAATGGTCGCTACATTTTACCAATTTTGTAATACAACTAGCAGCTAACTCGCCCCACGAGACATCTCGCCCCAGCATCAAAGACTGGGTCGAAATGTTCCGACACGATTCATCGATCGAGAGATACCAATGTGTATATGTTTGTGCTCATTGTACATTTTAGACGATATGGCTGATATTTGTTCACATTCTTTCGTCCTGGCCGTTAATTAGCAGACTACTGGTATCTCTCGATCGATAAATCATGTCGGGATATCTCGCTGGGGCGAGATGTCCCGTGGGGCGAGTTAGCCCGACTCCCTTGTGAATTTGTATCATTGTTGTGCCAGTGATCGTGATCGAGTGCAGCGCAGACGACCGACTGTACTACTAGGCCAAAATGGCGGAATTAATAGAAACGCTCCCAAGATTTCAGCTTCTTGATGATGATCAAATGAGAGACTTGATTGATTCTGCTGACAGCAAGAACACGAAAAATTCCGTTAAATGCTCCATGAAAATATTCGAAGACTTCCTGCAAGTTATCAAGACAGACCTCGATAGCGTAAACAAGCTTTCAAATTCGGAGCTGGACAATGTACTGCAAAAGTTTTACGCTGGTGCCAGACGGAAGAACGGAAGTTATTACATGAAGAAGTCAATGTTAGCTATTAGATTCGGACTTCAGCGTCATTTCCTCAACTGTAATAAGATAGATATCATCAAGCATGAAGATTTTTCCAACTCGACGAGAGTTTTTAAGTGTTTTTCAGCAATGCTTAAACAGGAAGGAAAGGGAGTTGTAACTCACAAACCAGCTATCTCAGCAGAAGACATGGAAAAAATCCAAGGTTCTCTTGATTTGGATGATCCTGTGGGTCTTCAGGACAAGGTATTTATGGATGTAATGTTGTACTTTTGCAATCGGGGTAGAGAGAATTTGCGTGAAATGACACTTGACAGCTTTGACATTTGTGATGAAGGGGGAAAATGCTCCATAACTCTGAAAGATACACTCACAAAAAACAACAGGGCAGATAAACTAGAGAAAAGCCAAGGTGGTGTCATGATTCCAACTAATGGTCCACGATGTCCTGTTGCCTCCTTCTTACGCTACAAAGATAAATTGAATCCACAATGTAAGAGTTTTTGGCAGAGACCGGCAAATGCACGTGCACAGGCCAAGCGTGAGTTCAAATCCAATCCATCTTCTTTTGATCAATGGTACTGTAATGCACCCCTAGGGAAAAACAGCATCGGAGACAAGATGAAAACAATTTCATCTCGTGCAGGTACCAAGGCTTACACCAACCATTGCCTTAGGGCAACCAGCATCAGTACCCTACAAAATGCTGGGTTCAGAGACAGAGAAATAATGAGTGTCTCCGGACACAAGGCGGAGACCAGTCTGAAACACTATGCTATGACCAGCAGTACAGCCAAAGAAAACATGAGTCATGCTATCGCGGCAGCCGTTGATCCGAAATCAGTACCATCCTCATCAAACATAGACCTAGGTCATGGTATCGCGGCAGCTGTTGATCCGAAATCAGTACCATCGTCATCAACATCTACTGGTGGTCAGCGTAGTGAAAGCCAGGAACTGCGGGAACTAAATGACATTTTCAATGAGATCACAAATAACCCAGAGAACTTCCCACGCACATGCAACATCACCACAAGTAGCCATGTAGCCACTAGTCAGCAGGTGCAAGCCCCCACGTATAATTTTCACAATTGTACGGTAAACATTTTGAACAAATAGAGTTATTTTCTACGGTTGAGTTATTTTCTACGGTTCTACGGTTGAGTTATTTTCTACGGTTCTACGGTTGAGTTATTTTCTACGGTTCTACGGTTTATTTTCTACGGTTCTACGGTTGAGTTATTTTCTACGGTTCTACAGTTGAGTTATTTTCTACGGAGTTCTGAGTTCCTGTTCTGAGTACCTGTTCTACCAGTTGATTGGTAAGTTGACTCTTCAGTATATAAAAGTATTAATGACTGCTTTGATATTCGAGAAATAGTTGTTTTTTATACGCTCTCGGGAAGGTTACAATTGTGCTATTGCCCTCGGCACGCCTCGGGCAATAGCACAATTGTAACCTTCCCTTGAGCGTATAAAAACAACTATTTCTCTCAAAGCAGTCATTAATACTATAATAATAACCCAACCGGTTGAACTACCAATGATTTGTGAATAACCTATTGAAAAGGAGTTGATTTAGAACAGTATAACAGACACTTTCTAGGGAGTCCATCTAGAAAGATCTTATCTTAGAGTCCAGCTAGAATTATCTCATATTAGTCAAGGGGGAACTGTTTAATGAGAATAGTCAAATTATTTCATTATGATATCTGTGACATCTACACACTAAAAATAATACAATTCATCTTTTTAAGATTTGCAACTGTATTTTATGTCATAATCATTGAACATTAAGAATGACAAACCAACCAAAATACTGATCTTTACTTAATGAGCCTGTAACTTGGTAAAATGTTAAAAGATGACATACTCTGCAACTGGATGCTAGTTGTTTCACATGTTTGTTTTCACTTGATATCCTCTAGTTTTTGGTTCTCTCTCTCTTCCATTATCTGCCTAACTTTGTCAATGTTACTCATTTTTTTTGTATTTCTACTTGTCTCTCTCATTGCATCTTTCTCTTTCTATCTCTTTGATTCTCCAATTTCTGTTTGCATGTAGTGACAAGACGAGGTCTTTAAACAAATGTATGCATAGAGAAAGTTTTAGTTTTTCCTTGACATATTTCACAGTCATATCAGCTAGACATAAAAAAGCACTGCAAGTCCAGACAGAAGAGCTGTTACTAGGTGTTAAAACACAAGCAGATGAATGGAAGAAGACTAAGAAGTAAGGATAAGTGTGTAGTGTTATCAATTTGTAATTTTGAACAAGAAATGAGTGTACGATATCCAATTTTTATATTAAATATCTATTACATCTCAAGACTTTGTAAGCGACTCTCCTGTTGATACAATGGAGATTTATACTGAACAAGCATCAGTATGATATTATGTTAATTATGTTTCATAAATTCTGTACAGAGCCAGCAGTGCATTTATTCTAAGACAATATAATTGATCTATTGTGATAAACAGAGCATTGTATTTTGAGGAAAATATATCCTAGCAGTTTAATTTGAACATCACATGTTTTTCTTTCTTTGCACAGGTTCCCCCAGTATGTGTTGGACCATCTGCCTGCTTTGTCACGAGAACCAGAAACTGAGAGATGCGTTACCCAGGCAACCAATCTAATCTTCATCACCTTCCTCATGCAGCTGCATGTTGCCAAACCAAAAGAACTCAGTGAGTCTCTCTTGTTCCTAAGCCAATATTCTTGAAACGGGCCAAAGTTCAGCCCAGCTTAAAGCTTATCTGTACTAGTTTATATGAGGGATTAGACCACCATCCAAGGTCACTGGACAGGTGGTTATCTCATCAACTCATCTCTCAGTTAACATAAGAAAAAGAGGATCATGGGGGACCAATGATCATCAATTAGGCATTGTTTTCTATATAGAGGGAGCAAGCTAGTAGCTACAAGTAGTACAGTGGGCCTTTAACCTAGCCCATTGATAAATTGAAGCTGAAGTGTGTCCTTACAGTCCATTGTGTCCTGTACATTGTATCATACTTTTGTAATGAGATAAATCAACAGTATGAATATACCCTCAGTTTAGTTGATCAAAGTATGAAATGAATGTCAATGGATATTTTATTATTTTGTAGTTCCATATGTGCAGGGCTCTGATCAAGGGCATAAAAGTGTTACATATGAGGTGAATTTTAAAAGTCAATTATAGACTGTGGCAACATTATTTTTGTAATCTGCAAACATTATGCAACACATAGCTAAAAAATCAGACCTTAACAAATTGCCGTTAAGCGGCAATCAGTAGCCAAATATCACATCATCAAAAATGTTACGTACATAACTCGGTGTCCACTTCATGCTGATATTTCTCTTATAATTCAAATTTTTCTCAACAAAGTACATGAGATGTTAAAACATACCCTAAACAAAACTTAAAACCATTGCCATATCAACTTTTTTCAATTTAGTTATTAGAATTTGGCCAAAACAAATATGGACACCGAGTTATGTACAGTACATCTTATTCTCTAGATGCTTTCTCTTTGCCTTATTGTCAGATATGGTTTTGCATTAGTCTAATATCGACTTCAATTGAAGGAATGATGTGTTTCCTGAATGAAACATAATTTGCAATGTGTAAATAGTTTGTAAACTACTATTTCAGGACTGAAATGTTAGATTTCTGTACTTAATCGTACATAACTGTGGACACCAAAAGTAAGTAGTTTTACATTCAAATTATAACTTCTTGTTCCTTAAATTCAATAAATGTTTGTTTAAATGAAAATGCAGAAGGGTGCAATTCATGCTGACAGAAATGAATTGATTAATTTATGATAATTTATTTCAAATTGTGATTGGTAGTACCGTACATAACTCGGTGTCTTAGTTATGTACATGACATGAAAAAGCTCAAACTGCAATATTTTGTAATATTCTTCTCACCAAATCAGACGTGTGTATGCCTTATACATTGTTTACTACCTTACCATAACAAATAACTAAATATAGGTGGTCTTATTGAAGAAAAAAAAACATGGTGTACGTACATAACTCATCACGTACATAACTCGGTGTCCATTCATTGTTGATTAAATCACACATACAAGTTAAAATGGGGAATCCAATGTTATCAGTGCTCTTCATTTACCTATATACACCATTGCATTATCATTTTGAAAGAATACAATAAGTTTTTGTATAGATTCTTTTGCATGGTTTGTTCATAACTGCAGGACACCAAACATTTTCCATTTTCAGAAATCTGAATATTGTTAAAACCATGACCCAGAATGAAATGATCTGATTAGAAATCAAAGATAAAGTGAAACTAAACATTATAACATTGCAAGCTTGTAAATAAATCAATTACTTATACACCATTCTTCAGTTAGTAAGATTTGAAATTTGCAGGACACCAAAGTTATGTACATATCACAAAAATTGTATCACGTGTAAATGGAATAAGAAAGTAAAATAATAGGAATTAACTCAACAGAAATGTTAATTATTACATAGATTCTACATCAAGATTTAAAAAAATCACAAGTTTTGCATCCCATTAGTAAAAATATGGTATCCAATTAGTGCATGTTTTGAATGTAACGTTAAAAGTGCTGAAAATAGGCCTTTTTTCATCATAAAATTGCTCTAAAATCTTTAATTTGAACTCAATGAAGCTGAAAACTTGTTTGGAGCTTCCCCCAATGGTACTTTCTAATATAAAAATGCTAATTTGTGTCTGGGTCTCTTGGTTTTGGATAATTCAACAATTTCCCAGTGTTCAATCTACATTTTTGTAAGTGTACCCTTGATCTGAGCCATGCACATATACATGTACCGGTAGTTAAAATGGTCATGGTGATAGTAAGACAATTGGCAATACTATGAAATGTGTCCCATATAACATGACTTTTTTCAGTTTATTTATCAAAAAATGAGAATCTCTGAATCTGTACATTGACAAAGGGTACTTTCTGGTATCACTGATATTATTAAATAGTCATATCAGGATATTTATCGTTAAAAAAAAAAAAATATATATATATATATATATGGAAACAAGACATGTGTTACCCTTGACACATATGGTACCACAGAATTGTTCAAATAAAGAAATTTAAGCTTGCAATTTGTAGTCCAAACAAGAAAGGTAGAAATTGCAAGAAATGTTAACACATCATCATCTGGCCACATTGTGAATGAAGGATAGCTTGTTGTTAATAAAATTTTGTTTAGCGACCACTTTCATATAGAGCCCACCTGTATATACAGAACAAATTTTTCATTTCCCTTGAAAATGGGTCCTTCTTGAAACCTGGGGGGTGTTTCACAAAGATCTTAAGTAGAACTTAACACTAAGTTGGACTTAAAAATTATGGACAGCCATTGGAGCCTTAAAATGAAATATATTCAAAAGCAGAAATTCAAGTATTTTAGACTTTTTATAAATTCCACATCCAGAATATTAAATCTCCTTGATGATAGAATATATGAATGATTTGAATCAACATTTTATGCCTTTCAAAATAACTTTTACAAAATATTTTCAAAGATGCTAATGGCTTTCCATAATTTTTAAGTCCAACTTAGAGATAAGTTCAACTTAAGATCTTTGTGAAACACCCCCCTGTACTAACGGAACCTGTATATAAAGACCACTTTTCTTGTCTCCCTTGAGTGGTCTTTGAATACACTGTTTCACTGTACATTTTGAAAAAGAATCTTAGCACATTTTCTCCTTGCCTCTCAAAGAAACTTGTCTGAAGAGTGCTCCTCCTGGCGTCAAAACTCATCTGTATGAAACCTTCACTCAAGTCACACCAAGTCCAGATGGTAAAAGTGAAAAACGGTAAGTAGTGAATATGCTGACCAGTATTACTTAAATTAGTAGTAGAAAGGAACAAAATACTTGAGTGAAATGTAGGCAAAAGTAGTTGAATTATAAAAAGACAAACAAACCAACACAGGCCTGATAAAAACCTGATTTTTTTTAATTTAAAAAAAAAAAAATTATATATTTTTTTTACCCAATTTTTTCATTTTTTCTTCTTCCCGATTTTATCCCTATTTCCCTTATTTTCTCTATTCTTCCCTATTCTTCCCTATTTTTCCCAGTTTTTCTTACTCAAAAGGGGGGAATGTTGGATGCCATTTCCCCCCCCCCCCCCCCCCCCCCGAATCCTCTTCTTTTTTTTTTACTCAAGGGGGCGTGGTTGAGGGGGAAAAAAAAAAATCTTTAGTGCTCACTATCACCCCTGCCAACAATTTTGAAGCCCCACTGCACTACTTATAGCTACTTGTGCCCTCTATGTAGCAAACAATGCCTAATGGATGACAGTGTGTCCCCTTGTTCTTATGTGAATTGAGAGCTGATTTGATGAGATAACCACCTGTCAGTGACCATGCAGGCAGGTCTAATCCCTCCTGGCCAAACTAGTGCAGATAGGCTTTAAGTAGAAATGCATACTGCCACTGTGCCACCTCTCAGATCTTGGTAGTGGGGCGACACTTGATTATGAAACTTAACTTGGAGAAAATAACGACTATTGGTTGTTGAATCGACTTAAGAGCTATACAGCCAGTAAGTAATAGTCTGATTTTCAGATCATGGTACCGAATAATCGTACGTTTTATGCTGCGCAAAGATTCAATTAGTTTAATTTTGGCCATCACAAGAAGTGGGTTATTGATGTAGACAAATGCTCATATACACTTTACAGCTCATTTTATGTATGTTATTACCAAAGAAGTAAAAAGCAAGTCAGTCACTCAACAGTGTCTGACAGTGAAGTCTAGCAAGTAAACAGGTTTCCTTCATAATTTGAATATGAGGACACTGCTAACGTTTAAATTTCACAGAAAGGACATACGGTACATGACATATTAATAATTCCTGCAAAGTTCTACAGAATTTGATGTTGGCTGCAAAAGGGACATGGTATTTTTAAGGATGTAAAGAAAGCTTGTTACAGAGTCTGTTTCCCTCTATTCATACTATGGAAACTGTATACTTCAGGGAGGGGAGTGGAGTGGATTTCCACCTAACCCCTTGTCCTTTAGGCTTAAGGGACATCCTGTATGATCTTTTTCTTCTGTTTTCATGATAACAATAATAATAATTTGATCTCATCATCTGTAGCCATAGTATTAACTCTGTTCTTCCTGCTGGCACTGCAATTACTAATCTTATTTTTCGCAATGGAAATAGAGTAATTAATGCAATTACGTATTCCATCCACATCCATATATTTTTTTTGCTGCAATTCAACATGTGACATCGAAGTGACAGAAATACACTTGTGATACTTTTTTCTTTTTAATTAGCAATGTGACAATGATGTTCTTTTCCCTTTCCTATATTAAAACCAAATCATGCTCATTCAAGATTGATAATTTGTTGAAGATGTATTTTTTTTTTCTTTCTTCCTATTCAGGCTACTTTCTAAGAGCTGCAAGGACAAGCTCTTATCTTACATTCTAGTCTTGGCTCAGCTCATCGATAGTTTCCACACAGACATTGCATCACTCACCAAAGATCTCAACATCTCGGTCAAAAAGTAAGAAGTTGTTATCTCAAGCCATTCAACTCCAAGACAAGCTATTCTAAAATGGTCTATATGTATATGTGGCCGATGAAAGATGGTTTTAATATTTTCTTTCTTTTTATATCACAAAAAAGACGGAAATAATTGATGGACTGTCTGATTAACCATTTTTTGCGCCATATTTTAGCCAATTAATGTATCTGCTATGACAATTTATAAGACAGATTAAATTAAAATCCTGAATGGGGTGCAGGTTGACTTATTCCTTTACCAAGAAGACATAGTATTTTATATCATATTTCGTCGTTCGAAATTACATGAGAGATCCCGCCAAGCGCATGCGCAGTCAATTCGCCGCGCAATTGATTTTTACCGGGAAAGTAATTTTCCCTCAGCAGTCAAAATACCTAATTTTCGGCATTTTTTCGGACCAGCGGTTTCGAAAAAATACTTCAATTCATGTTTTTGGAAGACTTTTGAGAATCTGGGCTGTTTTTATATCAAATATCAAAGTTTTGCTCCGATTTCCACGTACACGATGGCGTCTCCGTCAGGCAGCACCAAGCAGAAAACCAGCGATACGCTGAGCACGGCTAAAGCCGGAACTTCACCGGGCGAAACCGCCGCGGGCCCCTCTAGAAGCCTGAGCCAAAGCGCTCATCGGCAGTGAAATCCTCCGATACGAAACGCAAAAGTGTCTTGGCAAAGCCTGCCCCGAATGAGTCTAAGAACTCTGGGCCTAAAAAGAAGGGCAAAAAGCCTGAAGAAAAGGAGGACTTCACGGATTTACGAGGAAGACTTGACAAACTGGAATCCTTAAAGGGATCGTTTAACAATGTTAAATCTGAGATACACGGCCCTACATGTCAACAGTGTCTGTGATATGGTGTAATATTGAAGCCCTAAAAAAATTGCGCTTCAAAATGATCAAGAAGTGCCTCAAAAAAGTAAAAGTCTTTGAGTGACCGGTTTTACCATACTCGTTTTACCCAATAGACTGTAGTGTTATGAAAACCGTCAGGCGAACGGTTTTCAAAATTTGTAATTCCAATCATTAATATCTTGATAATCAGACGGGCGATCGGCTTGTAAAGTCATGGGGTTCCTGACTGACCTAAAGGTTTATAATTATCATTGCATCATGAGCTAAATCCAGAAATTTGTTTCAGAATCTGAGACAAAGTTACCGGATCCCTTTAATGGAGAGAATGGTGGATTTTTTGCCTTGTCAATCTGCAACTCGCCCCACAGGGGATACACCACCGACAGCTTGTACAGCTGCGGCGAACGTGAGATTTCTTGAAGTTGAACATGATGATGATGATGTCAACGAAACTGTTGCACCAGGTTTAGACCAGGAAAATGAGGACAAAGTTCCTGCCCTGGCTCAGAAATGTGCTATCCCCACTGGGATAGGTGGCGCGATCCACGATGATTTAGCAAAGTCTGCCATGTACCTCATGTCCCACCAGCTAGAGGAAAATGTGTTGGAGGAAGCTGGAGGGAAATACCCTCCTCCAAGCAATTGTACTCCACTGTGTTGCCCCAAAGTGAATGCAGCAATATGGGAAAACCTTTCCTCGCACACAAGAAGCTGGGATTTGAAACTGCAAAGAATCCAAAAGCCTTTGACTAGGGGACTCACAGCTTTTATTCAAACTCTGTCCCCCGATAGCCTCAAGAGGATGTCAATAGACACAACAGGATGCATTGGCATTGCTGTGTAACACAAACTTTGAAATCAACTGCTTACGCAAAGATCAGATTAAGCCAGACTTAAATGCCAAGTACTCACATCTTTGCAAACCTGCCACACCAGTGAGTCAGCATTATTTGGCGATGACTTAACAAAGAGAGTCAAAGAACTTACAGAACAACAAAAAGCTGCATCTGGCGTGGTGCGTGGACAACGTACACCCCGCCCCCAGTACCATCCGTACAGGACGCAAGCGTCCAGCACTTTTCAATACCGCAGACAAGGATGGAACCGTGCCACCGGCACATCACAAACTTTTCCAAGTAGCAGGCCCGCAAGTGGGAACTACAACAGGCCTTTTTTAGGCCAGCGAACCCAACGAGGCAGACCATACAGAGCTCCGCCTCACACCCAGACAATGAGCATGGGGAAACAGACCCAATCCTTCCAGCGGCCACAGGCAGCAAGGAGGAAATAGCTACACCATTACCCAAAGAGGTAAGTAGCACATATGAATATTTTGAGAATGTTAAGATTAATGCTCCTTCTACTTCATGTACATTACAACAAGAATGCATCTCAAATGTGCCTGTTGGAGGTCGATTGATATATTTTTATCGTAGATGGCGTGAATTAACATCAGATCTATTTCTGCTATCGGCAGTGCGAGGCTATGAGATCGAATTTGATTATTCGAAAGGGGTTCCCTCAAGAAATAAGCCCCTCTATGGTTACAAAAAGAGCCCTTTAGAAATAAATCAGATTACTAAAGAAATCTTGGCTCTACAAGCAAAAAACGTATTAGAACCTTGCTCATTTGAAGAGGGAGAATTCCTCTCAAACATCTTCATGAGACCCAAGAGAGATGGGGGTACTCGTATGATCTTAGACTTATCAGAGCTTAATCAAAGTCTGAACGTACAACACTTTAAGATGGATAACATCCACACTGCCAAGCACTTGATTTCTCTGCACTGTTATATCTTGCATCAATCGACCTCCAAGATGCTTATTACTCCATTCCAGTAGACCCAAATAGTAGAAAATACTTGAGGTTCATGTGGCAGGGTGAGCGCTGGCAATTTGCAGCCTTACCTAATGGGCTCAGCACAGCCCCCAGACTGTTCACAAAATTGCTGAAGCCAGTCTTTGCCGAACTGCGACAAGCAGGTCATACAGTCATAGGATATTTGGACGACACCATAATTATTGGTGAAACAAAAGAAAAGCTTAAAGAGAGTGTAAGTGCAACAACCAAGATCCTCTCAGAATTAGGATTCCTCATTCACACTAAAAAATCAGTGCTCATCCCAACGTGTGAACTAGCCTTTCTTGGCTTCATTCTTAACACTGAGAATATGATTGTTAAATTGCCTCAAACAAAGGCACAAGAAGTGAAAGATTTATGCCGTGAATTAATGGGCACGTACCTCCCATCAATACGAATGGTAGCACGAGTGATTGGGAAGGTCATAGCAACTTTCCCTGCGGCTGAGTATGGCCCCTTATACTATAGATCAATGGAAAGGGACAAAATTGCAGCCCTCAGACAAAACAGGGGTCATTTTGACAGAAAGAGGAAGTTGTCCCTTGAGGCAAAAGAGGAGTTAAAGTGGTGGATGAACAATGTTTCTATGGCCTCCTCCCCAATTGTTAGGAAAAAACCTGACTTAGAATTGCACACAGATGCCAGTGGCCTTGGATGGGGAGCTACTGACCTCCAGAAGCAAACAGGGGGTCGTTGGAATGAATTTGAGGCAGAAAGGGCAAGAAACAATGAAATAAATTTCCTGGAAACCCTAGCCGCTGGGTTGGGGATAAAATCCTTTTGCATGAATAAGCGTAACGTTCATGTGATGGTAAGAATACATAATACCACTGCAGTGGCTTATTTAAATCACATGGGAGGTTGCAAGTCCGCAATGTGTGACAAGATGACGAGAGAAATTTGGCAGTGGTGCATTTCTCGAAATATTTGGGTCTCCGCAGCCCATGTACCTGGTCGGCTCAATACTATAGCAGATGAAAGATCCAGGAAATTTAATGATCGAACAGAATGGAATCTAAACAGACAAGTGTTCGATAGAATAGTTTCCCACTTTGGTGTACCAGAAATAGACCTGTTCGCCTCAAGACTAAATGCTCAAGTAGAGAAATATGTCACTTGGCACCCAGACCCTGGGGCTTTTGCAGTTGACACATTTATGCTAGATTGGAAACCTTTTGCATTCTATGCATTCCCACCGTTCTGTATGATCCCCAAATGCTTGCAAAAAATCAGAGAGGATAAAGCTAGAGGGTTACTTCTGGTCCCTAATTGGCCTACTCAGACGTGGTTCCCTCAGTTGGTTAGCATGATGGAAGGAGAGCCATTGTTTATCCAAAGGCAAGAAGATTTGCTACTCCTTCCTGTGTTAAACACCACCCACCCTCTTAATGCTAATATTGACCTCTTATGTTGCAGGTTATGCGGCAACACTTTGAGAATCGGGGACTAAGCAGACGAACAGTGGATATCATTACAGCTTCATGGAGAGCATCAACCTGCAATCAGTACCAAGTTTACATCACACAGTGGCGAAGATTTTGCCACAGCAGGAATACGAGTTACCTCCAAGCCGAGGTGGAAACGGTACTAGAATTCCTTAGTAGTTTATTTCATGACAGGAACCTTAGCTACAGTGCGATCAATACAGCTCGTAGCGCTTTATCCACTTTTCTGATTCTCGTTGACAGTAATCAGACAATAAGTACTCACCCACTTATAACCAGACTGATGAGAGGTGTTTTTCAACTCAGACCTGTCTTACCTAGATATACAGAAATATGGAATATTAGTCCAGTTCTCAATTTTCTAAGAAAATTGTCTCCAGTAAACTCCTTAAACCTCAGAGATTTAACACTCAAAGTATGTATGCTAATGGCTCTTGTATCGGCACAGAGAGTGCAAACCTTGCATATATTGAAGACTAACAAGATGACCCTGAAAGGGGGCTTTGTGGTTTTTCATTTGGATGAACACTTGAAGCAAAGCAAACCAGGAAATACCAATTTTAAGTTTAAATTGGAAGCATATCCACCTGATAGAAGATTGTGTATTGTAAAATATGTGAAACATTATGTCCAGCGCACAGGACCACTTCATGGGAATGAGAACTCGTTCTTTGTAAGTTACACCAGACCTCATAATAGAGTAACAACTCAAACCTTATCTCGCTGAATCAAGACCTGCTTGCAAAGAGCAGGTGTGGATACAAACGCTTATAAGGCTCATTCAACGCAGGCAGCATCAACTTCAGCAGCTGCCAAAGCAGCACTTCCAATGGACCAGATCCTAGCCCGAGCAGGATGGTCTTCAGAGAAAACGTTTAGGAAGTTCTACAGGAAACCTTTTGAAAACAAGAGAAACTTTACCCAGGCAGTCTTACAAGATAGCACACTGCTTTAAGAACTGCATCAGAAGGCTTTTCAATAGAACTGGCATTAAGAGACCAGCTGTCTATTTAATAGAACTGGGATTAAGTAACCAGATGGCTAGAATAAACTAGATACAGAAACGAACAATTTTTTTGTCATAATGTTGCAAAAACAATGTTTTTGCAACATTATGACGTCTTATATATGGACGTCTTGTATGTGAAATGTTTTGCCACATGTATGAACAGACTACAATAACTGTCAAATATGGTGAGTCATTGATTAGAAGCATTCAATTCAATCTGCATAATCAGTGTTCACTTTCCGTACGTGTTGGTCGTTCCAAATGTGGCTACTATGCTTCAAAATCTCATGTAATTTCGAACGACGAAATATGATATAAAATAGTAAGATTAAACAAGAACTTACCGTTTGAAGTTTGATCTTTATTTTATGAATATTTAGGAGGAAGTTATTACATGCCCTCCTCACCCACCCAAACTTCAAACTTAAGTGTAAGTTCCCAGTTCCTTACTACTGAGAGTAGCCACATTTGTAGCTTTGAATATTGACTGCGCATGCGCTTGGCGGGATCTCTCATGTAATAACTTCCTCCTAAATATTCATAAAATAAAGATCAAACTTCAAACGGTAAGTTCTCGTTTAATCTTACTAGTTTATCATGTGCTGCTTTATTTCATTTGAGTCATCCAAAGATCACTTTTCAAAGGGGTCACATTGACATAGCCCTCTTCATCTAGAAGTCTGTAATATGATCCAGAATTGCCTCCACATTGCAACAATGATGATGTACTCCTGATAACATTGCGGTCTTTCTCTTGATTTTTAGTAATTAGAAGATAAGTATTAATCTGTGATAGAGTTTCATCTTCAGCCCAATATTGGCTTTTATAGATATTTGCTTTCTTATAGGTATTTAAATTTTTATTAAATATAATCTATTTTTAGGGCTTACTGTATGTTGCTCATTTTTAATTTGATGTGTGTTCTTCAATTCAGATTAACCAAACAGCTCATAACCTTTTAAGACTTTGCTTGTTGTTATGTTTAGGTTGTTAACACATGCCCGAGTCGTTGGCTGTAAGATTGCTTCTCAAACGATAACACCCTTGAAACAGAGGAAGAGGAAGAAGAAGAAGAAGAAAAACCTAGATGACAGTGACGACGACGATGATGATGATGATCTTGATCGTGACGCTGCAGACACCGAATCCCGCAAGGTTGTTTTCATTGAACTGAGCACGCCTATCAAGTCGGTTTCAAGCTTTGTAGAGAAACGAGGATTTGGAAAGAAGAGATGATGATCATATTGGGTCTCTTACCAGTTGTTACCTATACTGTAAACTGCTAAAATCATGCATTACTCCAGGGCTCCACACTCTTTTGGAATGGGTTCAGGATTATACTTTTTACAGTCTTTATATGTGAGTTCTATGTAAGTACAAGATCAAGTACATTACAATGCTATTGCTCTACATTTCCACTAAGGGTTTCATAAAACTGTCTTTGCCAAAACGAACAACCCTGACAAGCCACTTGTTGTGGGTTAAAGTTTAAGTTATTATATGGGCAGCAAAAAAATTAAAACTGGAAAAAAAATACCTGTGTTTGTGTAGGAATTCCTTTAGATATTTTCCTTTTATGAAGCATTACCTTGATAAAAGTTATATCACATAATTCGTCCCTATTTTCACGAAGTGACGGTAGTGAGGAAAATCGTAACGCAAAGTGAATGCAATTTTTTTTCACTACCGTAACTTCGTGAAAACAGCGACAAATTATTTGATAAATAAATTTCAAAACTTATGAGTCACAAAATGCCTTGTTTACATTATTTTCTTAAATAGCAATAAAACCAGGGTCTTCTTTCAATTGGAGATGAGTTATGGTATCCTCTTACCTGCAAATTCTGATTCCCTCGTCCACGAGAATCAAGAAACCTCAAGTTTCCTCAATTTGGTAAATTCTTAACATTAGTAACATATATTTTTTCATGCAAATTGATGTTTGTATAATTTGTGCTACCACTCTTTTAGATTTGTACTTTTTGCAAACAGTTTGAATGGAATTAAGCTTCATAATCTCTTTTGGTAATTCAGGAAAAATTCTGATGGGTCATGACAACCCACATACACATGCTTTCTTAGCGATCAGGTAAAAATAACTAAACTATATTTTTTAACCGATAGTATCAAAATCATGATTTTGTAAAATGAGTTGTTCGCTTCCTGACATCTCCTTAGGACACGGACAAAGATATAAATGTCATGGATTTGGTTTCATGATACGATGTCCTGATTACATGTACTCTCAAGTTTGCAAGAATTACTATTTCTGTATGGGTGTGGGGAGGGGGGAGGGGGGGGGGAGGGGGACTCAACTAAGTTATTAATTGTTTAATCTACTTTTTGCAGTATTATATACACATATCCAGATTGACAGCTGTAACTTTCTGTGTGTGTGAGATAGCTTGAGTCTTCCTTGATGCTTAATGAAACATGAATCTGAGGAAAATCTAACCCTGGGACAAAAAATTACCTGCCCCCCCCCCCCCCCCTTTCCAGAAATCTATCCCCAATTTAATTTACCCTCTGTTTTGGAGTAATGGAGATAATCATTGGGGGGGGGGTGGATATTAGACAGCCTTCAAAATGGATGAAAGTTTATTCATTACACTATTTTGTTAAAAAATCAAGACCAATTACAGAATCTTATATGTAAGAAGAAAATCAAATAAACGATTTTGATGGATGTAAATGTGAAAGTTGATTCATTCTTATGTGTCTTATGTCAGACCATTACAATCTTGGAGCTCATTTACTGAGCCAACGTACCAGGAAATTTATACACAAGTCATGTACTTGTATGTTGTATGTGATAATATATATTATCTTGCACTGTTACCTTGGGTGGCCTGTAACTCACAAAGTACCAGGAAATGATGAGGAGAAGAGAGAGAGAGAGAGAGGGGGGGGGGGGGGGGAGTAGGAGGAATGAAAGAGAGAGAGAGAGAGAGACAGGGGAGGGGAGTAAAAGAGACACAGACAGAGAGGGTGAATGAGAGAGGAAGGGGGGGGTAGAGAGGAGTGAGCGAGAGAGAGAGAGATTTTTTAATAGAGAGAGGGGTTGGGGGAAAGAAATGTATGTGTATGCTCCTACAGCTGTTAGTGCAGAAAGACATAATCTGCATGATATGAACACTAGATGTAGCATCAATGGTTTATACAGCCCATAAACCAATATCTAAGGTGTACTTTGCTGTGATGAAGCTATGCTGGCGATAGTTTGATAATCTGAATAGATAGGAATTAATCATCAATAGATTCTTTTTATCGTTTCTCTTAATCTATCATCAAATTTGTAAGTGTATATCATTATTGATGTACATTTAGGAGGAGTATACCATTCATTGACGTAGATGTGGAGACTTGGATCTGAAATGGCGCAAATTCTGAAATAAGCTGTGGGCCCTGCATATGGGTCTAAGTACAAACTAATCTCCCGTAGATGATTTTATCATTCAAATGCAGAAATATAGGCCTACACTTAAACTAATTTCCCTCTTTTCGTGCTTTAGTACGTTACCAAAAACATAAAGATTTAAGTCGGGAACATCGTGAAGAATAAAGTGGTATCGAGAATGCCGCCGAAAACCTTTTCCTGTCCCAAGTAATTTGGGGATTAAGATGTCCATATGACCTCTATTTGCTGATTGATCAGAAAACATGTAGACCGGTTAGTGAATCAGGTGAAAAGAATGCTTTCTTGGCCAGCAGACACAGATGATTTCCACTAGTAAGTAAATAAAACGGTTAATTAAAGGAGAAAGAAATCCATCAAATAATAATTGATATTCTTATTCAAAAATTGCCAGTGAATTTGAAATATATGTACAATGTATCTTAAAATTGTTTTACGTGTATCTCCCAAGTTTGCAGTTTCCTTGCTAGCCATGCATTTTCACATGAGAGTCGCCAATTTAAAATACATGTGTGATACAACTTGTGAGATACCCACTGACCTGTATTTTGTAGGACACGGCTTCACCTGTGAAATTCAGCCATGACAATGACTTCCTAATGATAGACCATTTTTTAAATATATTCAGATGAAAGGAAATTCTTTCATCACATACTGTGACCAGACATTTGGTTGAGCTGTTGGAACATTTGAGCGGATGCTCTAAAATAAAGGTAAGATTAATTCTGTAGCAGGTCTGAATGTAGGACAAGCCAATAAAGAATCAAATCATTTCGTTTTTCTCATCACTCTTTACCTCTTAAAAGTTTATTTATTCTCCTACACTATACTTCAAGGGCATAGTACAAATATATAATACAGAAAGACATATTGTATTTAAATACATGTATACTTCTCTTATATAACTTTGGCATCACATTAATGTAAACACTAAGCAGGATTTTTCTTTTATTCAGGAACCAATTCCTTTGAAACTCATTTCCCATAGAATTCATCTAGCTAGCGCACTTCATAATATATTATCAATGTGAATAGAAAATGAAGGAAAAGAAGAAAAAAAGAGAGAAGAAAATAATTTTAAGCATTAAGACTTTCAAAAAACCCAATGTTAGTGCATTTTGATTACAACATGTTGTCTATAATAATAATAATAATAATACATAACATTTATTAGGCGCTTAATACTGATGTTTCTAAGCGCACAGTGTTCTGATTAAGAGAAGACTATAACCCGTAGAATTAAATTAGAAGAAAAAGCAAAAATACAAAAGTAACATAGATAAGGTAAGAAAAACAGTGGCAATCAACTAAATAAAGACAAATATGGTGCGCACCTCCATTGACCGACGCACAACTGCAATTTACAATTTGAAAAGATATTGTCTATGCTATTGATAAAGGAACGATCCTAAAATTAACTTCACCTTGTCTAGAATTACCCTTTGACCTCATTTAAGCAACCCAAATGTTTAATCGTAAACACACTAAGTCATCACAAATACAGAATATATCACGTTTATCTATAAAAATGAGAAAATATATTAATTCTTAATGTATGTACACACATTCAAATTATGACTTTTAAAGTGATTTGGATATTTTCTGCAGCGAATTTTGCTCCAGGCTATAGGCAAAGAGACTTGGATTACGATCGAAGATTTGTTGGTAATCTTTACGGTTGGGGTTAGGTATTTCATTATTTGAATTAGGGAACCAACTTATGCTAGAAGTTGACTGCGGGTTAACTAAAGCTGTACACTGTATCTTCAGCCAAGACGTCTACAAATTTGCGCACGTGACAAAGTGAAACGGGCACATTTTAAAAATGAAAGGGGCACCTTTTCGCAATAAAAAAGTACACTTTTCCTATATTGAAAGGGGTATTTTTGACTCTGGTTTATATGTCAATGGTAAACTATAGAAAGGCTGTCTTTTATCGAGATTTTTTTATTACAGCCATTTCAAGTTATTGACTAAATACTGTCTTCTGAAAGCCAAATCCCTTTGTGTGAAATACAGTCTACCGACATCATTTTTAGGGCATATGATGGTACAATTGATAGCAAGTTTATCCTATTTTAGTATTTGGCAAGAATTATACATGTAAAAAAATGACAAATATCTACAATAAGTGTTTACTAATGAGGCCCAGACTACAAAGATGCTAAAATGTGCTATTGAAAGAGAGTTAACAAACGTAGGCGGCGGTAGTGAAAAAGACTAAACAATGAATTTGCTGCGCCTCTCTTTGAACAACAAATAAGTAAATTATCATCTACTTTTAAGGGATCTTATATTTTCACGGAATTCAAATTATTGTGCCTTCCTTCTATCATTCTGATCCGCTTATATATTTCCTTGCAGTGTTTATCAGTGTTTATCAGTGTTTATCAGCCTTTATCATTTTTTATCAGTGAATTTCGTTTATTTCTCGTAAAGTGTCGTGACCTCGATCCAGGCCCTCACATTTTGCTAAAACCGCATGTTCCATTTACATCTTGGCAGGCAGTGCTTTCTGAGTGTCAGGCCCTACTTCACTGTAGAGGGGAGGGTCCTGTGCTCCCACGTTGTAATTTGGTTGAGGTCCTGGTCCTGGTTGTGGTCCAATCTGGGGGTAGGCCACTGGAGCGGGATAAGTTCCCAGGGGTTGATTGACTGGAGGGGGCTGGTGATATAACAATGGTTGTCCTGGCAAAAACACAAAGAGAATAAACATGTTATCAGTATTCAAATAAAGTCAAACTTGTCGTAGCGACTCCCTGCTTATAGCTACTAAATTAAGAAATTATTTAGCATGTATATATATTATATAAACATAAATAGATTATCTCCAAATTAACATCGGTACATGTGTTACCACGGATGTGTACAACTGACGACTTGTTCATAGTGGCCACATGTCTATAGCAGCCCTTTTTATCACTTCCCCTTTGATGACTGCTATAATCCGTTTAAAGCTCGGAAATACATCTCTATAGATTTGGCCCAGCGAGTTAAAAAACTGTAGCTTTCACTCTCTCTACTTTCTTATCGAAAACAATCTTTCACGCCTTCAGCATCTTAAAGTTGACACACAATTTTATGATGAAACTTGAACCATAACACAAAATCACACAAAGAAAGGGCAAGCTGCAGAATAAAAGTATTATGTTGAAGATTTTATTTATCTATGACTTATGATTGCAACAACAAAAATCTCACTCTTCTTTGTATATATTTTTTCATTAAAATGATAATTGTATGACCGGTCAGTGCTTCAATAGTAAAGCACAATGTCTGTAATACATGCGTTAAAAGTAATCATAATTCAAGTAACTATATATTATCCTAAATAATATAATCATACTTAATGATTTGTATCCGATCCGCAAATTTGTTTTATTTTTGCTGAATGATATTTTGCTCTAGTAACAGCCCAGATATATTTTTTCTCAAAAAGAATGTTAAATAAACTTACCAGCTTGCTGACCAGGTGCAGGGACCATCACCATCATGGGCATGGCATTGTTCTGATAGTGGTAGACCTAACAATAGGAAAGGGATTAATCATCAATTTAACAATGTGTTAAGTATAGAGTCCTCATTGATATATACAAAGGAAGATCTGCTTATATTATCGGCAGGGTTACAATTTTGATCTGTTTAACAATGAGGTATTTACTTTACTATAGAAAGGAAAATAAATATACTTTGCTGTCCATTCTAATAAAAAATATTATGACAATAAATAGAACAAAACAATTACATGTTTTTCGTTTAAAATAACGACCCGAATGTTAAATTAAACCTTTCTTTTAGATAATCTTGTTCACTTTAAAAATTACGCCAATTGCAGCGTTACTCTATAGTCTATACACTTTCTTCCTCATCTAATATCTCACCATTGTGTTTGTTGGTGTGTCCTTTCGTCCGCAACAAACCCCAGCACAGCAGTAACAAGCTGCAACGATCGCAACAACAAGCTCGAGAAGTCCTATTATCGCTAGGAAAGAATCGAACGTAATCCGGGCGTTCTGAGGGACAAAATAAGAAGATACGAACACAACTTCGCAACCTCGCCAGTCCTCTATAGGAGTTTGAACCTAAGGAGGGCTGTGTGATGTGCCCCTTCTATGATTTGTTAATGATACAGGGAATTAATGTGAGATTTTTAATATTTATACATTATATTTCTGTTTTACACATGAAGGCCTACATGGGTTATACCAAACTTTAAAATGATTTGAAAACTACATTTACATTAATCTTTTCTTCTTATATATAGAAGTCAAGAAATTTCTGAAACAGATTTTTTCTTTCCTTTTTTTACAACCAGGGAATAAGAGGCCTTCTCAGGCTGTCATGGTGTGTAAAATTATTTTCAGCATAGTTCGAATATTCATGATCTCGTACTATAATGCTGTTACTTTGTAAAATACTAGGTGGAAATGTAGTTGTCCCTAATAGTCTTGGATATGGTTTTACCACGGATTTACCTAGGTTTTACTGCTGGTTTTTTACCCCGGTCACCTGTCATACCAAAAGGTTATACGGGATAACTTCGGGATATTATCCCAAGCGGAACCTTGGTATGAAAGATTTTTATTTTGCACTGCAAATAAAAAAACTTACCGAGACTGCATATCCACAACCCCAAAGCCCGATGAAGCTACAGGTATTACTGGCACTCACTGCTGCAGATGTGATGCCCATAGCAAATACAACAAAACCGACAATGGCAGATATGATAGACATCACCATGTAAGCCACGATCTAGTAACAAATGAAAGATACATGAATAAACAATTGTGAAATGAAATATATCAAATACAATGAAGTTAAACACAAAGCAATATTATCAAATAAAAACCATAAAAGATATCTTATTATTTTAGATTTACCCGGCATTGAAAGTATGTATATAATAATCTTAATTGTTAATTACAGGAATCAAATTTAAAAAAATCTCCTAAAGATATTAATAATAAACGAAGGATTAAAATATTACAAAAGCAAAATCTCTAAATCTCATCCAAAAGAATAAGTGTAGGTATTCTGAAAAATGTATTCCCGCCCTTCAGCAAGAATATAATAAATCTCTCAGAATAAGTAAAGTTATTTGGGGGGATGAGGTTTCTTTTAAAGATCAGAGATGGTGCATTAACTTTTTATATCATACATGAAATATGCGGGGGGGGGGGGGGGGGGGGGGGGCGCGTAGAATAAGGTTGTACTCGCGTATTTCGAAATATAACTACATTATATAACAAAGGGAAAAAAGAGGAAAATAACTGAATAGCCATGCAATGACAGCTGTTTATTTCATTTTAAAATTAGGTCCTATATAGGTAGTTACCAATGGGACTAGTAATTCACTAATGTGGATCACTAATGGGGGGGGGGTGCAATACTTACCACACATGTATTCTTCTTCTTAGAAACTATTCCCAGGATCGCGGTTGGGAGAAAAAACTGGAAGAGAGGAGAGGAGATTTAAGAAAAAGGGAATGGTTGGGAAGATCGAGAGAGAGAGAGAGGGAATCATATAGAGAGAAGGAATGCACAGAGAAAATATAATAAATTTATAATAACATCACAACAATGATATACCTTAAATAAGTGTGCTAGCTTGTTTCCTTGACAATGCCAATGGAGTCGGCTCAAATCATTCTATTCCAAACTTTTCAACAAGACTATTGCCTTCAATGCATTTCTATTCCGAATTAAAAAGAAGGGATACCCCTCTGTGTTTATTTTGTAATAAGGACCACACACAAAAAAAAATCAACATTTCTAATACCACTATAACCGTTTCAGGACAATTCCCCCCTGGACAATCATCCCCTGGAAAACAACCCCCAAGGACAATACCCTCCCAAAAGACAACCATCCCGAGGACATTTACCCCAGGAAAATCCCCCCCCCCCTTTCCCTGAAAATCACCCCTAGGACAATCTTAACATATTATAGATATCTGTGCAAATTTAATTATATAGGTTTTCCCGGCCAACTTCGCAATTTTGCTAAATTCATGATCCATGCATTCAAATTCGCATTTTAGTCATTCAAATTTATGTTTTATGCACCCTTTTCATCAAGCGTTTATAGTTATTAGCATGACCGATATGATCATACGGTCACGTAATACTGCAGTTCGTACATTTAAATTCATTTTACAGCAACCAATTTGATAGTCCAATTTTCTGATGATTCCCTTCAAATTAGTGTTATATGTTATGACTCGAGTACTAGTACTGATTTTTCAAATGTGCTATTAGGTTATATTGGAAGGCATTATCTATTAATACATCCCTATAATTCGATTGATTTATTTTCTTCACTTGAAAAGAAAAGTCAGTTCTTATATTAGCAAAAGTTTACACGATCACCAATTTCGGCCATGGGGGGGGGGGGGGGGGGGCTTATAAACATTGAAGTAGTTTTGTGTACAGCGGCTATAGTACTCACAAGCAGTCCGCTCCATATGCCTGTACCAACTATGCTGACTTGTGAGCCGACGATCAGCTCTATAATACCAATCACGACAGAGGCTATGGCACAGCTGAGCTGCATCCAACCAGTGATTTTTCCACTCCTGGCGTTGTATCCATCTGATTTATTTGACTTTTGCAAGACGATGTTAACGGGTTGGTGGGCCGCAACCTGGACTGGATGGGCGCCAGCCTGATGCATGACTACCTGTGGTGCCGCGTTGGGTGGATATTGAACTGCAGCCATCTGTTGAAAAAAAGAAAGAAGAAAATAACGAAATAACTTTGACAATCATTTCGCTCTGATGGTATCCTCTTGTTGTTTTGTGAACAGAAGCTAAGAGTGAAGATCGGTTTGGAGCCGGAGTCACTTCAGTATCTTAATGACGACGATGATGATCCACAGAGTTGTTTGGCGTCATGTATCTGTTTCAAACATTCAAAGGCGCCCGCTCCTCCAATAGCCATGTAATACACATTTTTGCTCGGAAAAGAGGCCTGACTTTAAAGCTTTCTCAATTGTCGGTGTCGCGAAGAATAGGAGGGAGTGAGTTCCAGAGACATGGAGCAAGTGAAGAGAAGGCACGATCACCATACACCAAGAGTCGTGTAAGTGGAACTTGGAGAAGAACTAGTCGTCCAGACGAGCGTAAACCCAGACGAGAATGCTGTTCTTCTACCAGGGAAGCCACATATCCTGGGAGCTGATCATGAACAGCCTTAAATGTCAGCAGTTAAACTTTATCATGTACTCAACCGGCAGCCAGTGTAATTCTTTCAAGATTGGTGTGATATGGTCGGACTTCTTCTCCCCGTGAGTAAACAGCCAATTACTGACTGTATAACAACAATGGGCTTCATTAATAACCAACAACTCCCTATCAGGGGCGTCTCCAAAGGGGGTGGGGGGGGGGTGCGACACCCCCCCCCCCCCACCTGTCAGGATATTGTTGGTAAAATTGCGCTGCCGTCGGGAAAAAAGAGAAAAGGGGGAGGGAAAAAAAGAGAGGGAAAGGGAAAGAAAAGAAAAAAGAAAAGGAAAAGAAAAGAAAGAGAGAAAAAGAAAGGAAAGAAAGGAAAAGAAAGGGAAGAAAAGAGAAGAAAGAAAGAGAAAAAACATAAAAGAGGGAGGAGAGGAAAGAAAGAAAAGAAAGAAAATGAAAAAAAGAAGAAAAAGAGAAAAGGGAAACAAAAAAAAAGGGGGTTAAAGAGAGGAGAGAGGGGGTAGGTAAGAGCCTGAGAGAGGAGGAGTGGGAGTAAAAGAGAGAGGGGGTTGTTGGGGGGTTGTTGGGTGGAGTCGTCTCGCTGTGTCGGGTAAGCTGTGTCGGTATTCTTGCTCGATCCTCGTGTACTATATCAATGCAGAAGTTTGAAGTTGGTGTGATGTATTGTCGATTGGCCGAAAAATTTTTCCCCTACGAACTGTGACTTTGTATCCACTGTCACGACTTCGAGAGTGACTACAACTACAATACTTGTATTTTCTCGAAGTTTCACTTTCCTATAATATCAGCTAAAGAAATCAGAGGTTTAACATTTTTGGGGAAACTAAATTCAAACAAGGAATAAGAGTCAACAACGGTACGACGATTCGTCTTCCTTTCTCTATATTTTGATGAAACGCCAACAATTCCACGCTTCGCGCGGGAGGGGAAAACTTCATTTAGACGAGTCGAGAACGGTACAACGAATCAACTTCTTTATCTATCTATAAATAAGCTTCCGCGATTCGCGCGGGAGGGGGAAAATCTTAATAAAGATAAGGATTAAGAGTCGAGAACAGTACAACAAATCGTTTGCTTTCTCTCGTAATTTAAGGAAACGTCAAAGCTTCCACTCTACGCGCTGAAAGAGGGAAACTGAATTCAGACAAATTAGGGTTAAGAGTCGCGAACGGTACAACGAATCGTCTGCTTTCTCTAATAATTTGAGGAAATGTCAAAGCTTCCGCGCTTCGCGCGGGAGGGGGAAACTTCATTCAGACAAGAATTAAGAGTCGAGGACGGTTCAACGAATTGTCTACTTTCTCTAATAATTTAATGAAACGTCAAAACTTTCGGAAGCGCGGGAGGGGGAGAACTGAATTCAGATAAGGATTAAGAGTCGAGAACAGTACACTGAATCGTCTGATTTTTCTCATAATTTAATGAAACGTCAAAGCTTACGCGCTTTGCGCGGAAGGGGGAGAAACTGAATTCAGACAAGGATTAAGAGTCGAGCGCAGTTCAACAAATCGTCTTCTTTCTCTAATAATTTAATGAAATGTCAAAGCTTCCGCGCTTCGAGCTAAAGGGGGAAACTGAATTCAGACAATTAGGGCTTATTAAGAGTCGAAAACGGTACAACGAATCGTCTTCTTTCTCTAATAATTTAATGAAACGTCAAAACTTCCGCGCTTCGAGCTAAAGGGGGAAACTGAATTCAGACAATTAGGGCTTATTAAGAGTCGAAAACGGTACAACGAATCATCTTCTTTCTCTAATAATTTAATGAACACCAAAAAATTGCGCGGGATGGGGAGAAACTTAATTCAGACAAGGATTAAGAGTCGAGCGCAGTTCAACGAATCGTCTACTTTCTCTAATAATTTAATGAAACGCCAAAAATTTGCGCGGGATGGGGGGAAACTTAATTCACACAAGAATTAAGAGTCGAGCACGGATCAACGAATTGTCTACTTTCCCTAATAATTTAATGAAACGTCAAAACTTCGCGCGGGTGGGGGAAACTTCATTCAGACAAGAATTAAGAGTCGAGGACGGTTCAACGAATTGTCTACTTTCTCTAATAATTTAATAAAGCGTCAAAACTTCCGGAAGCGCGGGAGGGGGAAACTGAATTCAGACAATTATTAGGGCTTATTAAGAGTCGAAAATGGTACAACGAATCGTCTTCTTTCTCTAATATTTGAAGGAAATGTCAAAGCTTCGCGCGGGTGGGGGAAACTTCATTCAGACAAGAATTAAGAGTCGAGGACGGTTCAACGAATTGTCTACTTTCTCTAATAATTTAATGAAACGTCAAAACTTCCGGAAGCGCGGGAGGGGGAGAACTGAATTCAGATAAGGATTACGAGTCGAAAACAGTACACCGAATCGTCTGATTTTTCTCATAATTTAATGAAACGTCAAAGCTTCCGCGCTTCGTGCGGAAGGGGGAGAAACTGAATTCAGACAAGGATTAAGAGTTGAGCGCAGTTCAACGAATCGTCTACTTTCTCTAATAATTTAATGAAACGCAAAAAACTTTGCGCGGGATGGGGAGAAACTGAATTCAGACAATTCAGGCAATATGCCTTAATATGTAAGTATATAAAACATGCAAGTACACAGCATATAGCCGAGGCAGATCCAAGATTCTCTTGCCGGGAAAGGGGGGGGTATCCTCTATTTCTCTGAGAAGCAAGCACGCATGTGCACGATAAAATTAGATAAACAATGGGAAAACAAGATTCCTTAAACTGAAAGATCTTCTCTCAGTTTTCTTTTTATCCCTATTTAATTATTTTTGTTTTGTTTCGAGGGGAGGGGGGGGGGGGTCTGAATTTCCTGCCGGGGCCACACTTACATGTAAGAGTTAAGACTTGCTTTAGATATGACGAGATCAAACGCCGCAAAAAAAAAACAGCGGGGGGGGGGGTTACGTGTAAATGCGTCATTACTGAAAAAAGCTTACAGTTACTATAGTTTCCTCGCTTAGTATTGTCAGGGACCCTTGGTCCGCCACTGTAGTCCTATACAAAGATATTGGTATACTCGGAGGATTCGATTAGTGGTAGTTAAAGTTTTATCATCAGACCTATATATATCAAGCCAGGTTCAAAAAGAAGTAATGTCATTGTGGTATTTCATTCTCCCCCCCCCCCCTATTACCACATCCTGGCGAACTAAAATCTACATAACGGTAAGATATAATTGTAAGTAATATCAGTGGTGGATCCAGGATTTTCCAATAGGGGCAGGGGAGGGGGGGGGGGTGAAATGTGAAAAATCGCGCCGACCGATATTTCGTTCAGTGAGGGGGGGGGGGGGGTGAGTGAATACTCCTTTTTTTCTCAACACCCCTACCCCCCCCCCCCCTTGGGCCAAAAAACAAAAAACAACCTTTTTACTTGTTTTGATATTTTATATTATTATTAAATAAAGTAACATTACTTCGACATAAATGAAACATATAAACAAATCGCACCTTTCCATGTTAAACATCTCGTCATCAAACTTACAAATGCAAACGTTTATTTCGATCGCGATAGGTAATATCAGTGGTGGATCCAGGATTTTCCAATAAGGGCAGGGGGGGTGTGTGAGTGAACACTCCTTTTTTTCTCAACACCCCCCCCCCCCCCCCTGAGCAAAAAAAAACAGCCTTTTTACTTGTTTTGATATTATATATTATTATTAAATAAAGTAACATTACTTCAACATAAATAAAACATGATAACAAATCGCACCTTTCCATGTTAAACATCTCGTCATCAAACTTACAAATGCATAACAAAGCATACATAGCTTCAGTCACTACAGAAACAGAACAGAAGCATAATTATACAGTTGGAAATCATTACTCATAACAGTTATACAATTTAACATAATATTACAAGATCTGAAGCTACATTACACTGGATCCCACAAATGTAGAAGTCTTATCTTTGTCTAATCATTAAGTTTTGTTTATGATTTAGTTCTTTGTTTATACTTAAAATTTTATTTAAGTTTGGATTGCTCACTATTGCAAACTATTATATACATGAATATTATCATTCAAATGTAAATAACCAAAACATTATTGTACAAAATACTGTTGAGTTACCATCGTTGAGTATTGATTATTCAGGCCGCCCTGAATTCAGTATAGGAAATGGATGAAATTATTCATGACATATCACGATAAAAACAAAATAGTCTATAATCGAATGGAGTCAACTGACGACTGTAATCCTGACCTTCCCTCCCACCTCCCTGCCTGCAGTATATTATTTCAATTTCGTGTGCGTGTAATATCAAATCAAATGCTCTCGACGGAGACGTATGGCCAATAACAATTAGCCATAAAGGCCCGAATTCACAAAGCAAGGTTTGAGCTCAGACCAAGGTTTGAGCTCAAACCTCCTTTTGTTTCGCCAAACCTCCTTTTGTTCTTTACAAACCAGGTTTGTAAAAAACGCGTAAAACGCGTCATATGACGTACGAAAACCAAGGTTTGTCGACAAACCTCCTTTGTGAATTCGGGCCAAAATGTTTTACAAACCGAACTTTCGACTCGGCATTTCAGTCTAATACAAGCCAATGCGTGAACAATAAAGTACAGGTATAATATTATATATTATTATTATTACTTATACCGCGCTTTTCCCAAAAGGCCCAAAGCGCTTACAGTGAATGAAAATAAAAATTACATAAATACACTGTCGCTCATCAAGTTGGAATATTTTTGTTTTATCCCAATTTATGGAATTATTTTAAAAATAATTTAAAAATAATAGATTAACATAATAGTATACATTCTTAAATTTTATTGAATAATAATTTGCTAATGTGCGTTTTGCGTGACTGCTAAAGCATGTGTATGCTACTATGCTTATCAACTAGGGGACCTACGCACTTAAGTCATAAATGACAGTAATGAGGATTAATGCCCCACAAAAGCATAATATAGCATATCGACACGGTTTTGATCCTGGGGCCTCACAGTTGCTTTGCCACTGAACCATGACTGTACGCAGCGGGGGTCTAGGGTAGGGGGCAGTTTCCAAAAATAAAAAAATCACAGAAAATGCGATAAATTTTCAATAATTTATTGCATTTTACCCCGGTCCCCAAAATAAAAAATCCTCTGGACGGCCATGCATTATGGCTCAAAGCATGGGCACACAGAAGATTTTTTTTTATGTTGGGAACCGGGTAAAATGCAATAAATTATTGAAAATTTATTGAATTTTTTAATTTTTTTTATATTTATGGAAACTGTCCCCTACCCTAGACCCCCGCTGCATACAGTCATGGTTCAGTGACAAAGCAATGGCCTCGTAACTGTGAGGTCCCAGGATCAAAACCGTGTCAATGTGCTATATTAGTGCCCTTTTGTGGGGCATTAATCCTCTTTATTGTAATTTATGACTTATAAGTGCGTATAGGTCCCCTAGTTGATATTCAGAAGCATACACATGCTTTAGCAGTCACGCAAAACACACATTGTCAAATTATTGTTCAATAAATTCTGAGAATGTATACTATTATCTAGATCCACTATTTTAAAATTATTTTTAAAATAATTCCATAAATTGGGGAAAAACAAAAATATTCCAACTTTATGAGCAACAGTGTACATATAATTAGAAAAAACAGGCTTACAACTACAAACTGCAAAAAAAAAGTGTTTCTAAGGCCTTTCTGAAGGTAACTGATGGAGACCGTCTTATTCTAAGTGGACTGGTATATACCTCGTATTAGTGTATGAATACTCATGTATATTGTATGTATCAACATTATATATTTGGTTTTAAAAAATGTGAAAACAAATTTCACGTCTGTTAGACATTATTTTCATTTGCAAAACGGTCAAAATGAAATTCACTTCCCTTTTCACACGTTATCAAAGCTCATCTTTAGGTTTTCACCTAAATAAAAGTTTACCTCTCTTTATGGAAACGCCATTAATCTCAACAACAACGGGCACATATCAAATAGTGAACAAAAAATGTTCAAGATTATACTGCTGTTTATAATATATATTTATATCTTTATATATATATTTATATAAGCTATGTACAATATACCCTGATATACACCTGGCAATATAATAGTGTATGATGAGTGATGGTTGGTTGAGGACTTAGGGTCAATGGTTGTAGTACCAAACAATAACAAAGACAAGAGCATATGCCTGCATTGATCTCAATGTTCCGTTACAAGCCACACGTCCAGAATCATACAACAAGCACATGCACTGCACTACTAGTACTACACATAGTAGATTACTACAATGTACATGATGTGCATGGGTAATACAAGACAATAGTTTCGTGAATAAAAAGCAATGGAGATGAAGGCTCTTGTGTCACATAAAAAAACACCTATAGACTCACTGTCACATAGTCAACAGTATATAGTATTGTATACATTACAGTGGAAAATACAAGTAGTACAATTATTTTTGCAGTGCCGACGCGTTAACACGGTATTTTCTCGTGATGACTTCCAGCAGTCTGCATTCATTTAACATAAACAATTCTAAAACCATGTAATGTTAAACATTGTCTGACTTACCTGACAGTAAATGGTGATCAAGTACTAGTAAAGCTTAGAAATCCCAGTTCTTCTCGGTATGTATAATGACTGTACAGTACACGCAGCATGAACACTGTTGACAAAATAATAACAATAAGCATGCAGTACAGTGTAGTGAGAGTACTGTAGGCTGTGTGGCGGCGCAAACTGACGTCACAACACTTTTGTTCGGATTATTAGCCAGAATCGCGTCTATACAATTTCACGGTACCAAAGGTTATACGTCATTATAGTGATAAACCATGACAAAAAAGGCATTACATACTGGTTATTTACATTCTGAAGCCTTAAAAGGATTTGTTTTTCCTGTGGAAAAATAGTCTGCATCGGAAAATTAAGAATATCTTTTGTAACAATTTTATTATGTACAAAGTGTATTTGTATAGTTACCAGAAAAAATGAATTATGTATGAACAAAAAAGGAATATCTTTGTTTACCTTTCTGTTGGAAATGAAATAAATATGAATTGAATTGAATTGAATTGAAACTGGAAAAAAAATGCCTACCTGTGTTTGTATAGGAATTCCTTTAGATATTTTCCTTTTATGAAGCATAACCTTGATAAAAATTATATCACATAATTATTTGATAAATAAATTTCAAAACTTATGAGTCACAAAATGCCTTGTTCACATTATTTTCTTAAATAGCAATAAAACCAGGGTCTTCTTTCAATCGGAGATGAGTTATGGTATTCTCTTACCTGCAAATTCTGATTCCCTCGTCCACAAGAAACTGTCAAGAAACCTCAAGTTTCCTCAATTTGGTAAATTCTTAACATTAGTAACATATATTTTTTCATGCAAATTGATGTTTGTATAATTTGTGCTACCACTCTTTTAGATTTGTACTTTTTGCAAACAGTTTGAATGGAATTAAGCTTCATAATCTCTTTTGGTAATTCAGGAAAAAAATCTGATGGGTAATGACAACCCACATACACATGCTTTCTTAGCGATCAGGTAAAATAAACAAACAAACTATATTTTTTAACCGATCGTATCAAAATCATGATTTTGTAAAACGGGTTGTTCGCTGCCTGACATCCGTAGGACACGGACAAAGATATAAATGTCATGGATTTGGTTTCATGATACGACGTCCTGATTACATGTACTCTCAAGTTTGCAAGAATTACTATTTCTGTATGGGTGTGGGGAGGGGGGAGGGGGGGGGAGACTAAACTAACTTATTAATTGTTTAATCTACTATTTGCAGTATTATATACACATATCCAGATTGACCACTGTAACTTTCTGTGTGTGTGAGATAGCTTGTGTCTTATGAAACAGGAATCTGAGGAAAATCTAACCCTGGGACAAAAAATTACCTGCCCCCCCCCCCCCCCCTCTTTCCAGAAATCTATCCCCAATTTAATTTACCCTCTGTTTTGGGGTAATGGAGATAATCATTGTCGGTTGGGGGAGTGGATATCGGACAGCCTTCAAAATGGATGAAAGTTTATTCATTACACTATTTTGTTAAAAAAATCAAGACCAATTACAGAATCTTATATGTAAGAAGAAAATCAAATAAACGATTTTGATGGATGTAAATGTGAAAGTTGATTCATTCTTATGTGTCTTATGTCAGACCATTACAATCTTGGAGCTCATTTACTGAGCCAACGTACCAGGAAATTTATACACAGAGTCATGTACTTGTATGTTGTATGTGATAAAATATACACTGTTGGTCATAATGGTGGAATAATTATTTTTACCCAAATTTATTAAATGATTTTGACAATGATTTATTCCTAATAGATCTAGATAATAGTATACATTCTCAGATTGTATTGAATGAAAATAGGGGAGTGTTTGTTTTTGCCTGACTGCTAAAGCATGTGGGTGCTACTATGCTAATCAACTAGGGGACCTATGTCCTTAAGTCATAACTGACAGTAATGGGGATTAATGCCTCATAAAAGGGCACAAATATAGCACATCGACACGGTTTTGATCCTGGGGGCTCACAGTAACGAGGCCATTGCTTGGTCAATAAATCACGAATGTACGCAACGGGCGCTAGGGTACGTCGACGCCCCCACACACATAAAAAAAGAAAAGAAAATGCAATAAATTTTCAATAATTCATTGCATTTCCCCCCAGTCCTCAACAGGAAAAAATCCTCTGTAGGGCCATGCATTATGGTCCAAGGCACGCCCACATAGAAGATTTGTTTATGTTGGGGGTCGGGGCAAAATGCAATTAATTGCAAGGACACCCATCAGATTTTGATAGGGGCATTTATAAGAGGTGAAAAGGGAATAGGTCCCTTATTAAAAAGGAAAAGGGGCACGTATCATTATTAAAAGGGGAATTATCAGAGTTGAAAGGGGCACTGACCAGATATGAAAAGGGGCACTTATGAAAATGTAAAAGGGGCACTTATAATAAAGGAAAATGTGCATTTGGTGAATGAAAAGGGGGCACTGTTCAGATTTTTAAAAGGGGCAGTTATGAGAAGGGGAAGGAGCTCTTTCTTTTTAATGGGGGCACTTATCATGAGGAAAAGGGACACTTATTAGAAAGGGAAAGGGGTAGTTGTGAGAAGGGGAAGGAGCTATCTCTCTTTAATGGGGGCACTTATCATAAGGAAAAGGGGCACTTATTCGAAAATAAGAGGGGCACATGTTAAAATGAAAGGTGTGCTCATCCGAGTTTAAAAAAAGAGGTAGTTATTAAAAGGAGAAGGGGCACTTCTTACAAAGGAAAAAAGGGGAAGTTGTCAAAGTAAAAGGAGCACCTCTCAGTTTTGAATAAGGCAATAATCAGAGGTGAAGGGGGCATTTATTAAAAGTGAAAAGGGGCACTTCTCGTACCTGAAAAGAGGCACTTACTAGAGATTAGAAAGGGCACTTATTCAAGATAATTTCAAGATTGATGAGAATGGAAAATGGACACTTATTGCAAAGGAAAATGGGAACATGTCGAAGGAAAAAGGGCACGTGTCAAAAATAAAAAGGGCACTCGTCAGAGGTGAAAAGGGGGAAGGGGCACTTTTACTAAGTAATAGGGGCACTTATCAAAGTAAAAGGGGCACTTTTGGGGTATCTGAAAAAGTGGGGGGGGGGCCGCCTCTGAAGAAGACGATTCGTTATACCGTTTTCGACTCTTAATAAGCCTTAATTATCTGAATTCAGTTTCACCCTCTTGCGCGAAGCGCGGAAGCTTTGACGTTTCCTTAAATTATGAGAGAAAGTAGGCGATTCGTTGAACCGTGCTCGACTCTTAATCGTTGTCTGAATTCAGTTTCTCCCCCTCCCGCGCGAAAGTAGACGATTCGTTGAACAGTGCTCGACTCTTGAATACCTTGAATACCAAAGAATCTGGAAGAAAGCCGTCTCCAGCTGCCAAGCTTCTAGGTCTAACTTCAAGGGGGGTGGGGGATGTCCCAGCTTCCGGGTCTTGCACCATAGTCGTTTTACATCTTTATCTTGCTTGCTGGCTCATATCAGGAATGTCATAATTGGAGTGTCTACTGGGAGAATGGTGAATTATTTTGCTCTTTCTTCCAGTATTTGTCAAATCTGGCTTTAAAGCTGTTTACCTAGGTTGCAGATACCACCAACTCAGGGAGGGAGTTCCAGTCGTTGAGGACCCTGTGGCTAAATTAGTCTTGCCTGAGTTTGGAGTTGCACCTGGGTTTGGACAGTTTGAATGCATGCCCTCTCGTTGTTGAATTGATTGCAGGTGTGAAGAATTTGGTAGAGTCCAAACTGTCAATGTTCTGCATCAAATTGAACACCTGAATCATGTCTCCTCGGCGGCGACGGTGGCTAAGTGAGGGAAGCTTCAAACTCTCAAGTCTCTCATGGTAGCTTTGGTGTTTTATCTCTGGTACCATTTTTGTTGCTCTTTTTTGTACTTTCTCTATAATTTTTTCGTCCAAGACAAGACCTTTGTAGAGGAGTGGAATTGTTGATCTGTCCTTGCAAGTGAAAGATCTACGTATGCGAGCTAGTACTCCATTCGCTTTTCTAGCAGCAATTGCAGATTGTTAATGAAATCTGAGCTTCTTGTCAATGACCACTCCAATCCTTTTCTTCTTTGGTTTCTGGGATCTTTACACCGTCTAGCTCATATTCCCTTCGTGAATTGCCTGCCTGTCTGAATTCAGTTTCTACTTTCTCCCCTCCCGCGCGAAACGCGGAAGCTTTGACGATTCGGTGTCGGCCTCCTGTTCTCGACTCTTAATCCGTATCTGAATTAAGTTTTCCCCCTCCTGCGCGAAGCGCGGAAGTTTTTACATTTCTTTAAATTATTAGAGAAAGTAGACGATTCGTTGAACCGTGGTCGAGTCTTAATCCTTGTCTGAATGAAATTTCCCCTCCCGCTCAAAGTGCGGAAGTTTTGACGTTTCATTCAATTATTAGAGAAAGAAGACGATTCGTTATACCGTTTTCGACTCTTAATAAGCCCTAAGTATCTGAATTCAGTTTCACCCTCTTGCGCGAAGCGCGGAAGCTTTGACGTTTCCTTAAATTATGAGAGAAAGGAAAACGATTCGTTGTACTGTTCTCGACTCTTAATCCTTATCTGAATTCAGTTTTCCCCCTCTGCGCGAATCGCGGAAGCTTAGACGTTTCCTCAAATTATTAGAGAAAGAAAACGATTCGTTGTCCGTTCGCGACTCGTCTACATGAAGTTTTCCCCATCCGCGTGAAGCGCGAAAATTTTGGCGTTTCATCAAAATATAGAGAAAGGAAGACGATTCGTCGTACCGTTGTTGACTCTTAATCCTTGTTTGAATTAGTTTCCCCGAAAATTTTAAACCTCTGAATTATTTAGCTGATATTATAGGAAAGTGAAACTTCGAGAAAATACAAGTATTGTAGTTGTAGTCCCTCTCGAAGTCGTCACAGCGGATAAAAAGTCACAGTTCGTAGGGAAAAAAACTTGTCGGCCGACCGACAATATACATCTCACCAACTTCAAACTTCTACATTGATATAGTACACGAGGATCGAGCAAGAATACACTGTAAAAAAGAATTTGTTCATTGGTAATTTTTACGTATTTTTTCCATGTAGAATTTACTTGAAAACATTAGTTTTGCCACTTACGCACTAAATTTAAGTCTTGCTAACTCAAACTTTCAATTTAGTAGAACATACGTGGAATGTTTAAGTAAAATCAAATACATAAGAACTTTAAGTAATTTCAGCTTGTATTAATTTAGTAATTTTAACTCAAAATCAGAAATTATAGGTATTACTCAAACAATTTATGTTGATTATTCTTATCTTTTTAAAGTAAGGACCGATGCAGTGCGTAATATAAATATTTACATAATTTATGAATATTCATTAAGACCAAATTAAACTCTTTTTTAAATAAAACAATTCTTTTTTGTGGTTGAATGAAAATTTAAGGACTTAAAAACATTTACTAATTCATTTAACATGGCTAAGCAAAGACAAGACAATTTTTAATTGTTACCCAGTTCAAAACAAATCAAAACTTGATATTTCAGGAAATTGTCAACCAATTTTCCTTTTAAGATGCTACGATCAAGTATATATAAAATTTGGAGCCTTTCAATATGTGTCGAATTGAAGCGTATGTAATAGTGTGTGATTGTGGTAGATGTATATACACGGTTAAATCTTAAATAGAAGTAGTGAAAGATTAGTGGATGTTACTTGTTAGATTAGATGGGTACCAAATCGTGCAATATGTAATCCTATCATAGCTTTTTTTTAATTATATAAAATGATTACAATACTTAAATTATTTACGTTAATGTAACTCGATTTAACTGAGTAAAAATTTATTCAGCAAAATAAGTAAATTCTACTTAAGATGCCGTAGGTAATATTTACTTAATAAAAATAAGGCAATTCTTTTCCTCAATTTTATTGAGTTATTTCGACTATTATTTTTTTACAGTGTTACCGACACAGCTGACCCGACACAGCAACATATTTACCCATGTCTTTCTTGCTTCCTTGACGAGACGACTCCACTCACAACCCCCCCCCTTTCTTTTACTCCCACTCCTCCTTTCTCAGGCTCTTACCTCCCCCCTCTCTCCTCTCTTCACCCCGTTTTTTTTTTGTTTCCCTTTTCTCTTTCCCTTTCTTCCTTTTCTTTCTTTTCCTTTCTTTCCTTTCTTTCCTCTTCTCCCTCTTTTTCTTTTTTCTCTTTCTTTCCTTCCTTTCTTTTCTTTTCCTTTTTTTCTTCTTTTCTTTCCCTTTCCCTCTCTTTTTTCCCTCCCCCTTTTCCCTTTTTTCCCGATGGCAGCGCAATTTTACCGACAATATCCTGACAATATCCCCTTTGACGACGCCCCTGCCCATCTCTACTCCTATTTCTCCGCCCCCCCCCCCGGCCCCAATTTCTCTCTCTCTCTCTCTCTTCCCTCCCCCCCTCTCTCTCTCTCTCTCTCTCTCTCCTCCCCCTCTCTCTCCTCTCTCTCTCTCTCTCTCTCTCTCTCTCTCTTCATTCTTGCATTCATGTGTCCCTCTCCCCTGTGGAGAATTGTATGCAGTGTTAAATCATTCTTCCATTGGTATCATTTCTTTTCACCTGTGCAAGGTTTGTCATTAATTTACTACAGATAAACGTTTATCGAAGAATTACATCTATTCGTTTGATGTTATGCCCACTATAATTCTAGTCTAATAGGTTGTTTAAAAAGAAAACTTATATAGGCTATTTCAACGTTGCCAGCTCTTATTGACATGAAAGTCATCACTTGGTACTCCGTTTTCAGGTAAATAGTTGACTGTGAATGAAAGTAATTCATAACAACGATGGAATGACATCTTCAAATTCCAATCTTCAGCCCTTAAAAGAATAAATAATATCGATAAATGAATTAATAAATGAATAAATAATAAATAAATATATACAAAAATAATTAAATATATCAAACACAAGAAAGACCAATAGGTTATCATTTATATCAATGGAAGGTATATTAATTTTCATTTCACTAAATAGATACTCCGTGCTTGCGCAAATGCAGCTTGTAACTGCACTTTGTGCACACCAATCTTGCCCTAATTCAAATTCGTCATTTTTTACATACTCTCACAAACATAAAAGACAATATGCAAGTAGTAGCCAGAGTAGCCATTAGAACACCGTCCCTCATAAAACTTAACCCTAATAAGGCCGGGGGGGCCATTATGGCCCCCCCCCCCTCCACGATTTTTCCGATTGCTCGGGAACGCATATGGATGGCGCCCCGCCGCTCGCTGACTTTTTTCTTTCGAGTCTTGCGCAACTTTTAAAACAATTTTTTTGAAAATCGGACCTACGGTTACAAGGTCACGTGACCTTTTGTCTTTGCATGTCAGCCCGAAAATCGCTCATTTTCGTGATTTGTGTACAAAACATATGTAAAAGTCATTTTTCCTAAAATCAGATCAAACATGGGTTATTGGGTCTTGTTTAAAGTTTAGGTGGTTGTTTTGGGAGTCAAAATAGTTAAATTGTAGTAAGAAATGAAATAAAACAACAAAAACAATGAAATACATAAGTTAAAAAAACAATGAAATACATAAGAAATTATCAAAACAAGGGATAACATAAGGAATAAGCTGGCTCTTCCAAATTTGTTGTTGTATTATTATTCAGAATGGTCTAATGAAAATATGTAGTGAAAAAGAATGCTTAAATATGAATAATATATGATTTATGGGTAAAAATGTGATTTTTATGACTTTATTTGCATAAATTACCATAAATATGCAAATGAGTGAATTTTTCAAAAAATTGAAATTATCTTATTATTCTATACACTTCACTTGACATGCGTGCAAACTTTCGCGGCGATCGGCCGCTTCGCGGCTGAGATCTTAAGGGGGGCCATAATGGCCCCCCCCCCGGCCATAGTAAGACCTCAAATAGCCCGGCCTTATTAGGGTTAATACAAACAACCCCCCCCCCCCCCCCAAAAAAAAAAATAAATAAATAAATAAATAAAAAAAATAAAATAAATAAATAAATAAATAAATAAATAAATAAAATATATATATATATATATATATATATATATATATAATAGCTCTTTACAGAGCGAATTTATTTTCCATTTCTTTTTCACATAATATAAACAATAACAAACAATAATAAACGTAATGGTATAACAGAAATAAGCATTGAAATATCTTTGACATTGTTTTTTAGTCATTGTAATGCAAAATAAATACTTAAATAAAAACGACCAAGGTTGTCATTTATGTTAGTGAAAGGTATATTTATTTTCATTCCCCGAAATACACTAAATTAATACTCCGTGCTTGCGCAAATGCAGCTTGTAACTCGACTATGTGCAGACCAATCTTGCCCTAATTCAAATTCGTCATTTTTTTACATACTCTCACAAACATAAAAGACATTATACATGTAGTAGCCAGAGTAGCTATCATAACACCGTTCCTCATAAAACTTAATACAAACAATACCCCCCCCCCCCCCAAAAAAAAAAAAAAAAAAAAAAAAAAAAGGTAAGGTTAATTCTGTAGTAGGCCTAAATGTAGGGCCTGCCAATAAATAAAGAATCAATTCACTTCGTTTTTCCCATCACTCTTTACCTCTTAAAAGTTTATTTATTCTCCTACTACATTTGCATATAGTAAATGTATATACTTTATACAGAAAGACATAATATATTTAAATACATGTATACATATATTATATAACTTTGGCATTGTATTACGGTAAACGCTAAGCAGGATTTCCTTTTATTCAGGAACCAATGAGCGAGTTCGTAAATAGCTCTGGACCGCTTGACCCCGAAATATCCAGAGATCTTAGACACAATGGATACTTTCCACGTGTGCATTTTAGAATAATCACTGCCGAAGTGATGGAGGTGCTTCATGAAAACCTTTTGTTTGCCTCTTGCGAAGAATACTTCCACCTGTGTATTAGATAAATGTACTGGTGGTGCATACATGAATACTGATTACATAACTGTCATGAGCACGATCCGAGTATTCGTCTCAATGGTTTTACAATTTGGGTACGAATGACCCTTATCTGCCCATGCGCAAATCCTAATTACGAACTCGCTTATTCCTTTAAAACTCATTTCCCATAGAATTCATCTAGTTAGCGCACTTCATAATGTATTTTATTTGTGATGAATAGAAAATGAAAGAAAAGAAAAAAAGAGAGAATAAAACAGTTTTAAGCATTAAGACTTTCAAAAAACACAATGCAAGTGCATATTGATTACAACATATTGTCTATGCTATTGATAAAGGAACGATCCTAAAATTAACTTCACCTTGTCTAGAATTACCCTTTGACCTCATTTAAGCATAAACAAACCAAGTCATCACAAACACAGAATATATCACGTTTATCTATAAAAATGAGAAAATATATGAATTCTTAATACATGTACACACATTCGAATCATGACTTTTAAAGTGATTTGGATATTTTCTGCAGCGAATTTTGCTCTAGGCTATAGGCAAAGAGACTTGGATTACGATCGAAGATTTGTTGGTAATCTTTACGGTTGGGGTTAGGTATTTCATTATTTGAATTAGGGAACCAACTTATGCTATAGAAGATGACTGCGGGTTAACTAAAGCTGTACACTGTATCTTCAGCCAAGACGTCTACAAATTTGCGCACGTGACAAAGTGAAACGGGCACATTTTAAAAATGAAAGGGGCACCTTTTCGAAATAAAAAAGTACACTTTTCCTATATTGAAAGGGGTACTTTTGCCTCTGGTTTATATGTCAATGGTAAACCATAGAAGGGCTGTCTTTTATCGAGATTTTTTTCTTACAGCCATTTCGAGTTATTGACTAAATACTGTCTTCTGAAAGCCAAATCCCTTTGTGTTAAATACAGTCTACCGACATCATTTTCAGAGCATATGATGGTAGAATTAATAACAAGTTTATCCTATTTTAGTATTTGGAAAGAATTATACATTTTAAATAATGACAAATATCTATAATAAGTGTTTACCATTGAGGCCCAGACTCCAAACATGCTCAAATGTGCGATTGAAAGAGAGTTAACAAACGTACGTAGGCGGCAGGTAGTGGAAAAGACTAAACAATGAATTTACCGCGCCTCTCTTTGAACAACAAATAAGTAAATTATCATCTACTTTTTAAGGAATCTTAGATTTTCAGGGAATTCCAATTATTGTGCCTTCCTTCTACCATTCTGATCCGCTTATATATTTCCTTGCAGTGTTTATCAGGCTTTATCAGTTTTTATCAATGAATTTCGTTTATTTCTCGTAACGTGTCGTGACCTCGATCCAGGCCCTCAAATTTTGCTGAAACCTCATCTTCCATTTACATCTTGGCAGGCAGTGCTGTCTGAGTGTCAGGGCCTACTTCGCTGTAGAGGGGAGGGGCCTGTGCTTCCACGTTGTAATTTGGTTGAGGTCCTGGTCCTGGTTGAGGTCCACTGTGGGGGTAGGCCACTGGAGCGGGATAAGTTCCCAGGGGTTGATTGACTGGTGGGGGCTGGTGATATAACATTGGTTGTCCTGGCAAACACAAAGAGAATAAAGATTTTATCGGTATTCCAATACAGTCGAACTTGTCGTAGCGACTCCCTGCTTATAGCTACCAAATTAAGAAATTATTTAGCAAATAGATTATCTCCAAATTAACATCGGTACACGTGTAACCACGGATGTGTACAGTTGAGTAAAATTTAAACATGGCCGCTTGCGACCGTTTCATAGTGGCCACATGTCTATAGCAGCCCTTTTTATCGCTTCCCCTTTGATGACTGCTATAATCCGTTTAAAGCTCGGAAATACATCTCTATAGATTTTGCCCAGCGAGTTAAAAAAACTGTAGCTTTCACTCTCTCTACTTTCTTATCGAAAACAATCTTTCACGCCTTCAGCATCTTAAAGTTGACACACAATTTTATGATGAAAATTGAACCATAACACGAAATCACACAAAGAAAGGGCAAGCTGCAGAATAAAAGTATTATGGTGAAGATTTTATTTATCTATGACTTATGATTGCAACAACAAAAATCTCACTCTTCTTTGTATATATTTTTTCATTAAAATGATAATTGTATGACCGGTCAGTGCTTTAGTAGTAAGGCACAATGTCTGTAATACATGTATTAAAAGTAATCATAAATCAAGTAACTATATATTATCCTAAATAATATAATCATACTTTATGATTTGTATCCGATCCGCAAATTTGTTTAGTTTCTGCTGAATGATATTTTGCTCTAGTAACAGCCCAGATATATTTTTTTCTCAAAAAGAATGTTAAATAAACTTACCAGCTTGCTGACCAGGTGCAGGGACCATCACCATCATGGGCGTGGCATTGTTCTGATAGTGGTAGACCTAACAATAGGAAAGGGATTAATCATCAATTTAACATTGTGTTAAGTATAGAGTCCTCATTGATAAATACAGAGGAAGATCTGCTTATATTATAGGCAGGGTTACATTTTTGATCTGTTTAACAATGAGGTATTTACTTTACTATAGAAAGGAAAATAAATACACTTTGCTGTCCATTCTAATAAAAAATATTATGAAAATAAATAGAACAAAACAATTCCATGTTTTTCGTTTTAAAAAAACGACCCGTATGTTAAATTAAACCTTTCTTTTAGATATTCTTGTTCACTTAAAAAATTACGCTAATTGCAGTATTACACTATAGTCTATACACTTTCTTCCTCATCTAATATCTCACCATTGTGTTTGTTGGTGTGTCCTTTCGTCCGCAACAAACCCCAGCACAGCAGTAACAAGCTGCAACGATCGCAACAACAAGCTCGAGAAGTCCTGTTATCGCTAGGAAAGAATCGAATGACACCTTGGCGTTCTGAGGGACAAAATAAGAAGATACAACATTTCATCGGGAATACCAAAAATAAGAAATTGAAACATCTTAAAGTCTCACACGGGAACACAATTTATAGAACCTCACCAGCCCTCTAAGAAGGGCTGTGTGATCAGGACAGGGGCGTCGCCAAAGGGGGGGGGGGGTTTGGGGTGCGACACCCCTCCACCTGTCAGGATATTGTCGGTAAAATTGCGCTGCCGTCGGGAAAAAAGAGAAAAGGGAGAGGGAAAAAAAGAGAGGGAAAGGGAAAGAAAAGAAAAGGAAAAATAAAAGAAAGAAAGGAAAAGAAAGGAAAGAAAAGAGAAAGGAAAGAAAGAGAAAAAAGAAAAAGAGGGAGAAGAGGAAAGAAAGGAAAAGAAAGAAAAGGAAGAAAGGGAAAGAAAAGAGAAAATGGAAACAAAAGAAACGGGGTGTGAAGAGAGGAGAGAGGGGGAGGTAAGAGCCTGAGAAAGGAGGAGTGGGAATAAAAGAAAGGGGTGGTTGTGGGTGGAGTCGTCTCGTCAAGGAAGCAAGAAAGACATGGGTAAAAATGTTGCTGTGTCGCGTCAGCTGTGTCGGTATTCTTGCTCGATCCTCGTTTACTATATCAATGCAGAAGTTTGAAGTCGGTGAGATGTATATTGTCGGTCGGCCGACAAGTTTTTTTCCCTACGAACTGTGACTTTTTATCCGCTGTGACGACTTAGAGAGTGACTACAAATAAAATACTTGTATTTTCTCGCCAGTTTCACTTTCTTATAATATCAGCTAAAGAAATCAGAGGTTTAAAATTTTCGGGGAAACTAATTCAAGCAAAGATTAAGAGTCAACAACGGTGCGACGAATCGTCTTCCTTTCTCTATATTTTGATGAAACGCCAAAATTTCAGCGCTTTGCGCGGTTGGGGAAAACTTCATTAAGACGTGTCGAGAACGGTATAACGAATCAACGAATCGTTTTCGTTCTCTAATAAATTTGAGGAAACGTCTAAGCTTCTGCGATTCGCGCAGGGGGGGGGGGGGGGGGGACTGAATTTAGATAAGGATTAAGAGTCGAGAACAGTACAACGAATCGTTTTCCTTTCTCTATATTTTGATGAAACGCAAAAACGCGGGAGAGGAAAACTAAATTCAGATAAACAGAGCTTAATAAGAGTCGAAAACGGTGCAACGAATCGTCTTCTTTCTATAATAATTAAATTAAGCGTCTAAGCTTTTCGTGCTGGAAGGGGGAAACTTAATTCAGACAAGGATTAAGAGTCGAAAACGGTACAACGAATCGTCTGATTTCTCTAATAATTTAAGGAAAAGTCAAAGCTTCCGCGCTTTGCGCGGGAGGGGGAAATTTCATTCCGACAAGGATTAAGACTCGAACACGGTTCAACGAATCGTCTACTTTCTCTAATAATTTAATGAAAAGTAAAAACTTCCGCGCTTCGCGCGAGAGGGGGTAAAGCTGAATTCAGATACGGATTAAGAGTCGAGAACAGTACACCGAATCGTCTGCTTTTTCTCATAATTTAATGTACATCAAAGCTTCCGCACTTCGCGCGGGAGGGGGAGAAACTGAATTCAGACAAGGATTAAGATGAATTCAGATAAGGATTAAGAGTCGAGAACAGTACACCGAATCGTCTGCTTTTTCTCATAATTTAATGAAACGTCAAAGCTTCCGTGCTTTGCGCGGGAGGGGGAGAAACTGAATTCAGACAAGGATTAACATCGAGAAAGGTACAGCAAATCGTCTTCATTTTATAATAATTTAATGAAACGTCAAAGCTTTCGCGCTTCGCGCGGGAGGGGCAGAACTGAACTCAGATAAGGATTAAGAGTCGAGAACAGAACACCGAATCGTCTGCTTTTTCTCATAATTTAATGAAACGTCAAAGCTTCCGTGCTTTGCGCCGGAGGGGGAGAAACTGAATTCAGACAAGGATTAACATCGAGAAAGGTACAGGAAATCGTCTACATTTTATAATAATTTAATAAAACGTCAAAGCTTTCACGCTTCGCTCGGGAGGGAGGGGGACATCATTCAGACAAGGATTAACAGTCGAGATCGGTACAATAAATCGTCTTCTTTTCCTAATAATTTAAGGAAACGTCTAAGCTTCCACGCTTCGTGCGGGAGGCCTAACACCGACACCCCCTAATGAGCGCGCTTCGCGCGTTCTTTAAGTGATTCGCTTGTTCACTACCGCCCCTTCCTAGCATAAGATCCTAGCTCCGCACCTGCATTTAAATATATAGCTTTGATGTTGACTAAGTTGACGAAATAATTGGTATATTTATGTCGTCGAGGAAAATGATCATTTGCGCATACGCAATTACTATAGATAGTCCATAGGAAAAACAATTTAGCCTTCGGCCCCGGGTTTATAGGGTTAAATTTGTAGATATTAGGACATTTAATTTTGTCGGTAGTTGGTGGCTAGTTTTGTCGGTAATCGTTGGCCTCATGGGTGTCGATCCCGGGGGGGGGGGGGGATGGGGGGATATATCCCCCCAATATTTCAGGTGGGGGGGGGGTGGCCTGTACAATCATCCCCCCAAAAAAAAATTCACCATCAAAAAAAAAATGAAGAGAAAAATCAATGATGAGAGCCCGATGAGAGTAGTTAATGGTTATTACTCGCAAGATGACCATCAATATAACATTTTATTATCTCATTTTCATAAAACATATGTAAATGAGACAACCGTATATGAGACAAGAATAAATGGAATTCTCGCTCATACGGCTTCATCAGAAATTGATGAATTTATTCAATTTATTCAATCAACAGCATTATAGAAATGCAGTGCGCCAACTGAATTCAGACAAGGATTAAGAGTCGAGAACGGTACAACGAATCGTCTTCTTTCTCTAATAATTTAATGAAACTTCAAAAGAAACTGAATTTAGACAAGGATTAAGATTCGAGAACGGTACAACGAATCGTCTTCTTTCCCTAATAATTTAATGAAACGTCAAAAGAAACTGAATTTAGACAAGGATTAAGATTCGACAACGGTACAACGAATCGTCTTCTTTCCCTAATAATTTAATGAAACGTCAAAAGAAACTGAATTTTGACAAGGATTAAGAGTCGAGAACGGTACAACGAATCGTCTTCTTTCTCTAATAATTTAATGAAACAATAAAGCTTCCGCGCTACGCGCGGGAGAGGGGGGGGGGGACTGAATTCAGACAAGGATTAAGAGTAAAAAATGGTTCAACGAATCGTCTTCTTTCTTTAATAATTTAATGAAATGTCAGAGATTCCGCGCTACGCGCGGAGGAAGGGGAACTTGATTCAAACAAGGATTAAAAGTCGAGAACGGTACAACGAATCGTCTTCTTTCTCTAATAATTTAATGAAACGTCAAAAGAAACTAAATTTAGACAAGGATTAAGAGTCGAGAACGGTACAACGAATCGTCTTCTTTCTCTAATAATTTAATAAAACATTAAAGCTTCCGCGCTTCGCGTGGGACGGGGAAACCCCCCTCTCTGCACCCATCCCCCTAGGTCGCGCGCTCTGTAAGTGATTCGCACGCTTCGCGTGCTCACTACCCAAGTTGCAAGCCATGTGGGACCCACATTGGTCCTATATTCTCTGAAATGTTATCTTTATTGAGGGTGACTTGAAAAAAGTTAATAACTTGTAAGGGAGGGGGTGCAACCTGCCACACGCTTCTACCTCTTGGTTGCTTTGATCCACTGCCGAAAATATTTTGGCACCTATCATCCCCCCAACCACGGATACAAATCGACACCGTTGGTTGGCCTCTACACCCCCCCCCCCCCCCCCCAATGAAAAAGGTCTAGCGACGCCCCTGTGTGTGATGTGCGGACAGGGAGAGATTGCCCCTAATATGATTTTCCAATGATACAGGAATGTAAGGTGAGATTTTTAATATTTACAAATATTTGAGACATTATATTCCTGTTTAAGACATGAAGGCCTAAATGGGGATCAAGTTATACCAAACTTTAGATGATCCAACTGCATTTACATTAATTTTTTCTTCTTTGTATATTAAAATTCAAGACATTTCTGAAACAGGGAATAAGATCCCTTTTCAGGCTGTCATGTGTCTAATAAATGTTAGCATAGTTTGATGAGCTCGTACTATATTGTTGTTACTTTGTAAAATACTTAGTGGAAATGGAGTTATCCCTAATAGTCTTGGATATGGTTTTACCACGGATTTACCCAGGTTTTACTGCTTGTTTTTTTTACCCCGGTCACCTGTCATACCAAAAGGTTATACGGGATAACATTGGGATATTATCCCAAGCGGAACCTTGGTATAAAAGGTTTTTATTTGCAATGCAAAAAAAAAACTTACCGTGACTGCGTATCCACAACCCCAAAGCCCGATGAAGCTACAGGTATTACTGGCACTCACTGCTGCAGATGTGATGCCCATAGCAAATACAACAAAACCGACAATGGCAGATATGATAGACATCACCATGTAAGCCACGATCTAGTAACAAATGAAAGTTACATGAATAAACAATTGTAAAATAAAATATATCAAATATAATGAAGTTAAACACAAAGCAATATTAACAAATAAAAACCATAACAGATATCCAAATAATTTAGATTCAACCGGCATTGAAAGTATGAACATTTCTTTATAAGCGGAAGCAAGTTAAAAAAATCTCCTAAAGATATTAATATAAACTAAGGATTAAAATATTACGAAAGCGCGATCTCTAAATTAAAGTATATAGCCCGGACTATTTTGCCTGGGGAGGGGGTAGGGGCTAATTTTGCCCCTACCCCGATCTCAGCCATTTATTGACCGATTTTGAGCAAACTTGGTCCCATCATGTATTTTACAAGAATGTTAGTCAAATTTATGATCTATTGTTATTCAACAGAAAAAAAACATTCTGCAGACAACACTTCTTGTAAAACCCATACATTGTACACACAAGATCTTGGAAACCGCCATTTTGTGTGACGTTGGTCACGAATATGTGCTATATCTCTGCAACCGCGTACCCCACATTTTCGCTAATAGGGTATTAAAATGTGCGCGTAATGTGAAAGATAAAAGTCATGAAATTTCAGGGCAAGATTTTTTTGCGTTGAAAATTTATCGCGAAAAATGTCTAGGGGGCCCCCCGGGCAATTGAGGGTTAGAGGAAATCTCACCTCAAAGAAATAGTGTAGGTTTTCTAAAAATTGATATGTATTCCTACTCTTCGGCAAGAATATAATAAATCTCTCATAATAAGTAAAATTATTTCTTGGGGTGAAGTTTCTTTCAAAGACTCAAAGACGGTGTATTAACTTTTTATATCATACATGAAATATGCGTCACAGGGGGGGGGGGGGAGGCGTAGAATAAGATTGTAATCCTTGCGTATTTCAAAATGTAATTATATAACAAAGGAAAACAAAAAGAGAAAATTGACTGGATAGTAATGCAATGACAGGTGTTTATTTTATTTTAAAATTGAGTCCTATATAGGCCCTTGTAAATGGGACTAGTTATTCATTAAGGTGGATCCCTAACGGAATGGATGTTGCATTACTTACCACACATGTATTCTTCTTATTGGAAACTATTCCAAGGATCCCGGTTGGAAGAAAAAACTGGAAGAGAGGGGAGAGATTTAAGAAAAAGGGGTGGGGGAGCGAGAGAGAAAGAGAGATAGAGAGAGAGAGAGAGAGAGAGAGAAAGAGAGAGAGAGAGGGGGAGGGGGGAGGTGAGAGCATTATAAGGAGAGGTATGCACATCAGAGAAAATATAATTAATGATAACATCACAACAATGAAATAAGTGTGCTAGCTTGTTTCGTCCCTGACAATGCCAGTTGGCGGGAAAAATAGATGTACTATTGATAGTCGGCTCAAACCCTTCTATTTCAAACTTTCCACAAGACTTTTGCCTTTGCCAATGCATTTCTATTCCGAATTAAAAGAGAGAATACCCCTCTTTACAAGTTCTCTGTGACTACTCTTTAGGAAACGTTACAAGGGACGAATCATTGGTGGTTATAAACCACATCAAAAAATCATTCAAAATTTGTAATATCACTATCACCGTTTCAGGACAATAACCCGAAGTACAATACCCCACCCAAATACAACCACCCCCGAGGACATTTACCCCAGGAAAATTGCCCCCACCCCCACCCCCTGAAAATTACCCCCTCTCAAGGACAACCACGGACAACCATCCCCGAGAACAATTACACCCCCTGAAAATTAATAAGTTGGTTTTGATAATTTGGAGGGGGGGGGGTATTGTCCTCGGGGGGGGGGGGGGGTGATAAACCAAGTGGGTGGTTGTTATAGGGGTTAATTTCCCGTTGGGAATTATCCTGGGGGGGGGGGGGAGTAATTGTCCGTCCTGGAGGGGGGGGGGGGTAATAGTCCCGCTGGTAATTGGAAGGAAGGGGGGATTTTCCAGTGGGTTTTTATCCTAGAACCCACTTTCACTATTTATTTTTTTTAAAAGATATTGGGGATTCAGGATGACAAATTCATATTATGGATATCTTTGTAAATTTAATTATATAAGTTTTCCCGGCCAACATCGCAACTTTGGTAATCAAATTCATGATCCGTGCATTCAAGTTCGCATTTTCTTCAGTCGAATTAACATGTTTCTCGTTCAAATTCATTTTTTATGCACCCTTTTCATTAAAAGTCATACAAAGTTTTGGCATGGGGTCATGAATTTGGTTCAAATGAACATATTGGAAGCATATGAGATCCTACAATATTCAGTGATCGTTTTCGTGGTTGAAATCGAGTCTAAAGTTATGAAATTGTAAATAATACACTCTTGATTTTGTATAGCTCCCTCTCAAGGTCATGATATTAATTAAGCTATAAAACAGTGTTTCTTGACTAAAATCGACCGATTAGCTATTCCCATTTGGAAATTACATATTACATCTACATATTCTGAGATTTTCATGGTAGCAGATACTATTGTACGGCCGGAGGCGCTATTTGAAATTTATTGAAATTTACCGGGAGCACCGGTAAATTTTTATATTCAATTTTTCTCGAAAGCAGAAGTGTTTTAGGGGCTAAATTTTCTAGTCCTTATAAAACATCCACAGGGGCAAGGCATCCAAATATATCAAAATTGTAAAGAATCACTATTAACCAAATGTTCAAAATGTCCCAAACTTTGTATTACCTTTAGGGCTCCAAGCGTTCATAATTATTCATCAGTACACGAAGCTTAAAAGACATTATCTATAAATACATCACTATAATTCGATTATTTATTTCAGTTTTTACTTGAAAAGAAAAGTCAGATCGTTTAGTAGCAAATATTTACACGATCAACAATTTCGGCCTTTTTTTTGGGGGGGGGGGGGGGCTTATAAACATTGAAGTAGTTTTGTGTCCAGCGGCCACTACTCACAAACAGTCCGCTCCATATGCCTGTACCGACTATGCTGACTTCTGAGCCGAGAAGCGGCTCTACAATACCAATCACGAACGAGGCTATGGCACAGCTGAGCTGTATCCAACCGGTGATTTTTCCACTCCTAGCATTGTATCCATCTGATTTATTGGACTTTTGCACGACGATATTAACTGGTTGGTGGGCCCCAACCTGGACTGGATGGCCGCCAGCCTGATGCATGACTACCTGTGCGACCGCGTTGGGTGGGTATTGAACTGCAGCCATCTGTTGAAAAAAAAAAAAAGAAAATTACGAAATAACTTTGACAATCATTTCGCTCTGATGGTATCCTCTTGTTGTTTTTGGAACAGAAGACACTTCAGTATCTTCATGACGACGATGATGATCTACAGCGCTTGAGTTGTTTGGCGTCATTGTCTGTTTCAAACATTCAAAGGCGCCCGCTCCTCCAATAGCCATGTAATACAAATTTTTGCTCGGAAAAGAGGCCTGACTTTAAAGCTTTCTCAATTGTCGGTGTCGCGAAGAATAGGAGGGAGTGAGTTCCAGAGGCATGGAGCAAGTGAAGAGAAGGCACGATCACCATACACCAGAAGAACTAGTCGTCCAGACGAGCGTAAACCCCACCCCCCCTCCACTCAGTGTTATTTAGGGTACGCATAATGCTCGTTCCCTCTTTTTGAAAGCACCCCCTATCTGAGGACTGCCAACATTTCCGAACTCCCCTTTCGCGGGCTTTTCGCGGGCTTTTCGCGGGCTTTTCCTGCCTTGGAGTCCCCCCCCTAAATCAGGAAAAATGCTCAATGTACCCCCCCCCCCCCTAAATTCGGAATAACTTCTCAGGAGTCCAAAGAGATGAGAGAAAAAAAGAAAAAAACACCCCCTTTTTAAAGAAATCTCCGGGTAAAAAGTCAAATACACCCTTTTTTTTTTACAATTCTCGGGCCGGACTTTTTCGCACGAAAAGTACCCCTTTACCGGACATTTTGGCAACACGCATGCGACCATTCCGACCCCTGAGTGGGGGGGGGGGGGTGTAAACCCAGACGAGAATACTGTTCTTCTACCAGGGAAGCCACATATCCTGGGAGCTGATCATGAACAGCCTTAAATGTCAGCAGTTAAACTTTATCATGTACTCAACCGGCAGCCAGTGTAATTCTTTCCAGATTGGTGTGATATGGTCGTACTTCTTCTCCCCGTGAGTAAACAGCCAATTACTGACTGTATAACAACAATGGGCTTCATTAATAACCAACTACTCCCTATCAGGGGCGTCTCCAAAGGTGAGGTGTTGGGGGGAAGGGTTGCGACCAGGGGCGTCGCTAGATCTTTTTCAGTGTGGGGGGGGGGGGGGTGTAGAGGCCAACGATTACCGACAAAACTAGCCACCAATTACCGACAAAATTAAATGTAACAATATATAAAATTTAACCCTATAAACCGGGGCCGAAAGCTAAATTGTTTTTCCTATGAATTATCTATAATACTTGCGCATGCGCAAATGGTCATTTTCCTCGACGACATAAATATACGAATTATTTCGTCAACTTAGTCAGCAACATAGCTATATATTTTAATGCAGGCGCGGAGGTAGGATCTTACTTTAGGGAGGGGTGGTAGTGAGCAAGTGAATCACTTGGGATGGGAGATAGGTCTCCTGCGCGAAGCGCGAAAGCTTAGACGTTTCCTTAAATTATTAGGAAAAGAAGACGATATATTGTACCGTTCTCGACTGTTAACCCTTGTCTGAATGAAGTTTATCCCTTCCCGCGCGAAGCGCAAAAATTTTGGCGTTTCATTAAATTATGAGAAAAGCAGACGATTCGGTGTACTGTTTAATCCTTATCTGAATTCAGTTCTCCTCCTCTAGCGCGAAGCTCGGAAGTTTTGGCGTTTCATTAAATGATTAGAGAAAGTAATCGATTCGTTGAACCGTGCTCGACTCTTAATCCATGTCTGAATTCAGTTTCTCCCCTTTGACGTTTCCTTAAATTATTAGAGAAAGCAGACGATTTGTTGTACCGTTTTCAACCCTTAATAAGCCCTATTTGTGTGATTTCAGTTTCTCCCCCTCCCGCGCAAATCGCGGAATTTTGGCGTTTCATTAAATTATTAGAGAAAGTAATCGATTCGTTGAACCATGCTCGACTCTTAATCCGTGTTTGGATTCAGTTTCCCCCTCCCGCGCGAAGCGCAGAAATTTTGACGTTTCATTTTATTATTGGAGAAAGTAGACGATTCGTTGAACCGTGCTCAACTCTTAATATACCCTATTTGTCTGAATTTAGTTTTCCCCTCTCGCGCAAAGCGCGGAAGCTTTGACGTTTCCTTAAATTATTAGAGAAAGCAGACGATTCGTTGTACCGTTTTCGACTCTTAATATACCCTATTTGTCTGAATTCAGTTTGCCCCTCTCGCGCGAAGCGTGGAAGCTTAGACGTTTCCTTGAATTTTTAGATAAAGAAGACGATTCGTTGTACCTTTCTCGACTCGTCTAAATGAAGTTTCCCCCTCGATATAGAAAGATCAAGAAAGACACGGGTAAATAATTATGTTGCTGTGTCGGGTCAGCAGTGTCGGTATTCTTGCTCGATCCTCGTGTACTATATCAATGCAGAAGTTTGAGGTCGGTGTGATGTATTGTCGGTTGGCCGACAAGTTTTTTTCCCTACGAGCTGTGACTTTTTATCCGCTGTGACGACTTCAAGAGAGACTACAACTACAATACTTGTATTTTTTCGAAGTTTCACTTTCCTATAATATCAGCTAAAGAAATCAGAGGTTTAAAACAATTTGGGAAACTAAATTCAAACAAGGAATAAGATTCAACAACGATACGACGAATCGTCTTCTTTTCTCTATATTTTGATGAAACGGCAAAAATTTCACGCTTCGCGCGGGAGGGGAAAACTTCATTTAGACGAGTCGAGAACGGTACAACGAATCGACTTCTTTATCTAATAATTTAAGGAAACGTCAAAGCTTACGCGATTCGCGCGGGAGGGGGAAAATCTTAATAAAGATAAGGATAAAGAGTCGAGAACAGTAAAACAAATCGTTTGCTTTCTCTCGTAATTTAAGGAAACGTCAAAGCTTCCACGCTTCGCGCGGAAGGAGGGAAACTAAATTCAGACAAATTAGGGTTAAGAGTCGCGAACGGTACAACGAATCGTCTGCTTTCTCTAATAATTAAAGGAAATGTCAAAGCTTCCGCGCTTTGCGCGGGAGGGGGAAACTTCATTCAGACAGGAATTAAGAGTCGAGCACGGTTCAACGAATCGTCTTCTTTCTCTAATAATTGAATAAAACGTAAAAACTTCCGCGCTTCGCGCTAAAGGGGGAAACTGAATTCAGACAATTAGGGCTTATTAAGAGTCGAAAACGGTACAACGAATCGTCTTCTTTCTCTAATAATTTAATGAAACGTCAAAACTTCATTCAGACAAGATTAAGAGTCGAGCACGGATCAACGATCGTCTACTTTCTCTAATATTTTAAGGAAATGTCAAAGCTTCGCGCGGGTGAGAGAAACTTCATTCAATTCTATTCATTCTATTTCTCTGAGAAGCAAGCACGCATGTGCACGATAAAATTAGATAAACAATGGGAAAACAAGCTTCCTTAAACTGAAAGATCATCTCTCAGTTTTCTTTTTATCCCTTTTTACTCATTATTTTTGTTTTGTTTCGGGGGGGGGGGGGGGAAAGGGTCTGAATTTGCTGCCGGGGCCCACACTTACGAGTTAACCCTAATAAGGCCGGGCTATTTGAAGTCTTAGTAGGGCCGGGGGGGGGCCATTATGGCCCCCCTCAAGATCTCGGCCGCGAAGCGGCCGATCGCCGCGAAAATTTGCACGCATGTCAAGTGAAGTGTAAAGAATAATATGATAATTTCAATTTTTTGAAAAATTTACTCATTTGCATATTTATGGTAATTTATGCAAATAAAGTCATAAAAATTACATTTTTACCAATAAATCATATATTATTCATATTTAAGCATTCTTTTTCACTAGATATATTAATTAGACCATTCTGAATAATAATACAACAAAAAATTTGGAATGGCCAGCTTATTTCTTATGTTATCCCTTGTTTTGATAATTTCTTATGTATTTTCTTGTTTTTTTAACTTATGTATTTCATTGTTTTTGTTGTTTTATTTCATCTTTTACTACAATTCAACTATTCTGACTCCCAAAACAACCACCTAAACTTTAGACAAGACCCAATAACCCATGTTTGATCTGTTTTTAGGAAAAATGACTTTGCCATACGTTTTGTACACAAATCACGAAAATGAGCGATTTTCAGGCTGACATGCGAAGACAAAAGGTCACGTGACCTTGTAACCGTAGGTCCGATTTTCAAAAAAATTATTTTAAAAGTTGCGCAAGACTCAAAAGAAAAAAGTCAGCGAGCGGCGGGGCGCTATCCATATGCGTTCCCGAGCAATCGGAAAAATTGTGGAGGGGGGGGGGGCCATAATGGCCCCCCCGGCCTTATTAGGGTTAAGACTTGCTTCAGATATGACGAGATCAACCGCCGCAAAAAAAAAAAAAAAAAAAACCGCGGAGGGGGGGGGGGGGGGGGTTACGTGTAAATGCGTCATAACTGAAAAAGGCTTACAATAGTTTCTCGCTTAAAATGCACAAATAGTATTGTCAGGGACCCTTGGTCCGCCACTGTAGTCCTATACAAAGATTGGTATACTCGGAGGATTCGATTAGTGGTAGTTAAAATTTTATCATCAGACCTATATAAATAAGTCTATCAAGCCAGGTTGAAATGTTAAAAATCGCGCCGAACGATATTTCGCTCAGTGAGGGGGGGGGGGGGGGGTGAACACTCCTTTTTTCTCAACACCCCTCCCCCCCCCCCTTGAGCAAAAAAAAACAAAAAAAAACCTTTTTACTTGTTTTGATATTATATATTATTATTAAATAAAGTAACATTGCTTCGACATAAATGAAACATATGATAACAAATCGCACCTTTCCATGTTAAACATCTCGTCATCAAACTTACAAATGCATAACAAAGCATACATAGCTTCAGTCACTACAGAAACAAAACAGAAGCATAATTATACAGTTGGAAATCATTACTCATAACAGTTATACAATTTAACATAATATTACAAGATCTGAAGCTACATGACACTGGATCCCACAAATGTAGAAGTCTTATCTTTGTCGAATCGTTAAGTTTTGTTTATGATTTAGTTCTTTGTGTATACTTACAATTTTATTTAAGTTTGGA